TATCTAGGAGAGATGGAATGGGTTCTCCCAGCTTTGGTTCGGTTTGTGTAGCCAAAGCCTTCTGCTGCTGCTGCAAAAGCTGTTGCTGAAGCGCAAGCTGCTGCTGCTGTTGTTGTTGTTGTTGTTGTTGTTGTTGTTGCTGCTGTTGCAGTTGCAGATTCTTTTGCAGTTGATGCGACTGCAGCTGTTGCTCCAAACGACGACACACACCGGCACTGGCCAGCGTTGTCCAATTGACATCACGTCCAAACTGCTCGCAGAGCTCCTCGTGGCGTCGTGTCATTTGCGCCAGTGCCACATCACGGGAGATGCGCTTAAAGTCACCGAGAATCTCCTTGGGCGCCGTCTCCATGTGCTTCAGCAGTATGTTGCGCAGCTGCTCGGACAGCGGCTCGCCGTGATGGAACAAGCACTCATCGCCGGCAAAGCACTCCATGCCCAGGTAGTAGTATTTGCAGGGGAATTCCTTGTGCATGTAGGAGCACTTGTCACGCTTCGCGCAGCAATCCATTAAATAGAATTTGCACAGCTCCAATTTGCGTGGCTCGACGCGGCCAGATTTTTCGGCCGCTGGACTGTCGCCAGACTCGCGGCGGCTGCGTTTGTTGGCAGATCCAACACTACCACCACCACCACCTCCGCCGCCATCGCCCTGACGGCGATCCTGATCACGATCATGATCACGATCACGATCGCGACGCTTGCGTCCCCCACGCTGATCCTTGTCACGCTCCCTGCGCTGGCGACGCCTCTGGCCACCGGCCGGTGGAACATCATCTTCGGAGTAGGAATCGTAGCTGCTGTACATGTCCTGGGCAGAATCATAGCCGACATTGCCACCACCAGCGGCCGCAGCCCCCGCCTGGCCGGCACTCGTGCTTGTGGGTGCTGAGGGCGGCGGACTGCCACCGCGCACATTCATCATCTCGTACTCCATGTCCATGTCATCGCTGGCCCCTCCACCGACAGCCAGCTCGTCATCATCGCGACGGGCGCGTTTCTAAAACAAAGGGGAGAACAAATTGATACTAAATCGGAGACTTGTGGACCGAGGGAGGAGGATTTTTGGAGGATTTCCCAGCTGCTACAGGCCACCCATGGACTGTGATATCTTGCCCGTCTGGGCTCTGGCTAACAACTGCATGGGCTCAAGTGGTCAGCCGTGACGATCGAACGATCGATCGGTTGAGGCTTTTAGCGCAGATCCATGGGTCACGCTTCGGCCAATCAGCTAATAATTTGCTTTGCATATACATAGGGCGACAGCGACTTACCTGTTGCTCTTGATCCTTTTTCTCGCGATCGCGCTTCTTTTTTTGTCGATGGCGGCGTCTGCTGCCGCGACTGGCCGTCCATGGTCCATCTCCACCGGGACCGTCACCGACGCCGGCTGTGCCATCGCCGCCGATGGTCGATATCTCAGTATTCAGGGATCTCATCTTGGGCATGGGCGGTTCAATGCCCTTTTTCTTCAGTGCATTGGCAATGGCATTCTCGATGCTGAAAGCATGATCATCTGGATGGTGTGGGAGCAGAATTGGGTGTGAGAACTTGGACCGTTGAGGGGGTGTGGGTGTGGGTGAGGGTGAGGGTGTGGGGTTGGGGTTTACCTTCGAGTGGGCGTGGCTTTTTTGGCTTGCTGCTGACGTCCATGGTGAGGCCCATAAAGACCACATCCTCGTCGCAATTTTTTTTGTTCTGGCCAGCCATTTCGATGCCCACAAACTGCACCTCATCGTCGATGTTTTGGGACTTCTGCTGTTGGTCTTTGTTTAGTTGTTGCGGTTGCAGCGTCTCCTCCTCCTCATCATCATCATCGATTTCACCATCCTCAAGATCCTCATCCAAATCAATCACGGCCACAGTCGAAGACGACATTTTTGTGTATCAATAAATTGTAACCTAAAAGTTTATCAACGATTTCTGCAGATAGAAAAAGCCAGAAGAGAGAGAGAGAGAGAGAGAGAGAGTTGTGCATAAAGGAAAAGGATCAGATCAGAGATATTTTATAGAAAGTTCCCACATAATTATATAGAACTGAAATTCTATAGTAATACACATTAAAAATATTATCACGTCACAGCGTGAAATAAAAGGCAGAGAAGAGAGGTTTATGGACCAGAGCAGGAGTTAGAAGCCAGCTTTTGTTCACTTTTTTGTACTATATAACAGCAACGCCAGCATGGAAAAAATATATCAAATTGAATAAACAACAATAAACAAGCTTCTGTGTGAGGGGAGGTGGGGAAAAGTACCGTGCTGTCGCCAGTAAATGGATCTTCGATAGACGACACTCCACATTATATTGCATTTATTCCACTGTAACCCACACATGCATATTTCCATCTGGCTTCTGCGTTCGTGTGTGTGCGCTCAGCTTTCAGTCAATAAACATATGTAAATACATAGCTTCTTATTGTATAAACTGCTTGAACATATCTCATGGTGTTTATACATATGTATGCACATATGTTTTAAGAACTTGGCATCTTTAATTACCGTAGTTGGAGCTAACTGAAACTACTATTGCAGTACATACATGCATATGTTTGTACATAAACGCTCGCTTCATGGACGGACGCTGTCGCGTGTGTGTATTTGTTTCATTCTGACTTTTGGGTCTGTTTATCATGTTGTCTCGCTTGCGCAGCTTCGAACTGAGACTCCCGTTTTTAAATGCGTGCGCGTGCTTTTGCAAATACATATGCATTCGTGTGTGTGTGGGTGTGTGTGTTTCGCTGTGTGTAAATGAAGTTAAAAAATGTGTACATACATACATAGTATAATTATGTTTAAACACTTTGCATTGTTTTCCTTAATTATGATTGTTGTCGCTGTTCCACAAAAAGAATAGTGAAAGGGGGGCGGAAGCCGCATCAGGCGAATGTCTAAGGGGTGTGTGTGTTAGTGAGTGTTCTGTTGTGTTGCGCATCTGCGCAGTTTGCATGCACGTATACACACACATGCAGAAAATTACGCAGCGATCGAAAACTGCAAAGGGCGAGTGGGTTTGGAGCATACATACATATGTACGTATCTGCATGATGTATGATGTATGTGTGTACATAAGCCTTGAACGATCGAAAATCTCCCTCTCACTTGATGACGATTATGGGGCGTGGCATTGAGGAATTATTGTGAACAGCTTACACACACATTTCCATATGCATGCATGTACATACATACATACAAATGCATCAACAGCAGCAGCATTGGGCCAAGACCACAAACATTTTGAGCCCTGAAAAACATTTTCTCTTACGTTTTGATGGAACATTTACAACTTTTAGTGATTTATAACATTTCTGTTCGATTGATTTTCGGTTATGTGATGGGTTCTTTGCTTTGTTTTTTTGGGTTTCTTGTAGTTTTTGCTTGTTGTTTCTCTTTTTTGCTTGTCGCTTTTTGGCGTCGTTCCCGCTCTGCTTACATAATGGAAGTGGTACAGTAGGTGAATAAAGATATGTATGTATATATAGGAACTATATGAAGCTTTACATATACATTCGACATACAATCGCATGTATGTACATATATCGTATTAGCGGCGCAGCAGATGTGTGTGCACATACATACATTTGTACATATATGCATGTATAGGTGCGAAAAAATAGCATTTTGCCGTACATCAAATGCATTGTTCAAGTTTTTTCTTTTGCTATATATACATATATGTACATGTACGTGTGGTTAGGTGTATGTGTATGCGTGCGGGTCTGGGGCTCGCTTTCGCTCTGGGGCCCTAGCCTCAGCTTGTTTCTTTCTCTCTCTCTCTCCCTTTCCTTCATTCTGTGACGCTCATAGACAGAATACAATATACAAATACATTAAATTAATAAAACTTCTTCGTCCAACATAGGCGTTGTGAACAGTTCAACAATTTCTACTTAAATCAGTGTGACCGCCGAATTGTCGATCAAATATGCTGTCAGACCCTCAAAAATATACCAAATGTACCATTTCATTTTAAAAATATACCGTAGTCTTAAAACATATTCCTTGATTTTTATGTTCTATTTGATATTACAAGCTTGCAAAGACTTTTAACACTGAAACAAAAATTTAATCCGATTGAAGAACCAATTGGGCTTACTATAAATCCTCCTTTTCATTGGATTGTATTGTAAGACCTTATATTTTACAAATTTGTATTTGCAGTTTTCTACCTAAATATAGTGTTGGGAGAAAACCCGATAGCGCGATCGATTCTATCGATAGATGGAAAATAAGTCGACTATCGATAGATTCGGCTCAAAATTGATAGTTTCGACTGCTCAAGACTGTTATTCAAGCAAAATGACAAAATATATTACATTTTTGGAAATTACTAGATTTGATGCTTTGTTTGCTGTGCCGATATCGGTACACTCATACGCAAACATTGACCCGCACTGACTAACTTTTAAGTATTATCGCTGCCCATGCACAACAATTTAAATACACGTTAAACCCAGATAGCTGCTTTTGCTAATGAATGTAAGCGAATGTCGGTTTTTGTTATACCCTTTGAGGCATCTCTCCTTTAAGCACGATTTTCTTTTTCTGAACTTATTTGAACTTATATTTATTACGAGCTATCGCTTCCGAACTTTTAACTTACCCCGTTTGTTTTGTTATATGTAAACCAAGCCATTGAAAGGGGAATTAATGTTTTACTTACGGAAAGTGCTTGGCATCCTTGCCGGCGCATGGTGAAATTAGTAACAAGGTGACGGATTCACCACAGTGCCTTCTCATTCGAGGCCCACCTGCTCATGGTGAAATCATGGTGAAATTACTAATAAACTTTTGATATCTCTCTCTAGCGCTGGCCTCTCTGAGAGCCGAGCAAGCGTGGTTAATAAGCTGGTGGTCCTCCAGTCAGCTGACGACGTCACCTTGTTACCAATTTCACCATGTGCTTGCTGGCGTGTAGGGATGACTGGTTGATTGATTTTTGTCTGCAATAAGCCGATGCCGATTATTGAGATCGAACAGCTGTTTTCTGCGATGGGATTGTACATCGCTATTGCATGGGTGGATCGGTGCGGTGGATGACGATTGTTTAGCTACGTTCCGTGATACGTTTCGCCATTTCTTGTTTACTCTGGTTTACTGTGCTTCCCTTGATCAACATCATGAGCGGCTACAATCACTTGGAGCAACTGGACAACATCGATATCCTCGATCTGCCCTATGTGGAGCGCGATCTAAACTTTGCTCAAAAGGTAGGTAACTCCCGCATATATTTCACAATCATAATCACAATCACGTTGTAATCCGTGTGTATTCCTTCAGGTGAGCCTGTCCTTCCTGCTGTACGGCGACGAGCATTCCAGTGCTACATATATATTGCAAAAGCTTTTGGTGCTGCACCGCGCCAACGAAACCGACTGGCGGCACAGCGACATCTTGAGCCAGTATGCCAAATCCAAGCCCCAATCGTGGCGCAAGTATCTCGTGGAGGCTCTGTGCATCATCGGTGCGCGCCAGGTGCTGCGAAAACTGGGCCTACGCTGGCAGGAGCTGCGCTTGCACTACCTACCCCACATTGGCGCCATCAGTCTGCACATCCATCCGCTGTTGAAGAGCCTGTACATGATCTGTGAGGAGCTGTCACTGGCCCAGAGCGGACGCATGGTGCAGAGTATCAGGGAGAAGGCGAGCTCCGGGGAACCCCTGCGCTTCTATGAACCGGCCTATCTGGAGATATTTATGCTTGACTGGCTGACGCGGCGTCTAATAAGGCTGGGCGACATCAACGCCAACGGCAGTGATGTTCAGCTGCTGATCGAACACTTGAAGTTCAACGAGCTGCACACCCAGGCCACGCTGCTTGTCGATACGGTCAACAGTAATGCCACCGAGAGTAGCGACCTCGCTCCGACTTCTTTGTGCCCCAATCGTGAGAGTTTCGCCTCGGCAAAACCTAATGTGGGTGACAGTGGCCTGGCCAAAGGCAGCTCCAGCCCAGCGGCATCTGCGCTACCGCAGCGGGCCAAGAATGCGATTCAGCTCAGTCGCGCGAATGCTGGAATTGCGCTGATAATCAACCAGCAAAAGTTTCACCAGAATGTCAGCGATGATCTCAAGGTGTGAAAGGAATCGGCTCGGCCCCCACTTATCGTTGGTCAGCAATTCAAGCATTTCCCTTGTACTCCTCTTTCAGATGTACTTGCCGCCAGTTGAATTACTGCCCCGCCATGGCACTGATGTGGACAAGCAGCGGCTAACTGATGTCTTCTCGGCACTCGGCTACAAGGTGGAGCCCCACGATAATGTCGATCATTTTGCCATGCTGGAGCATATACGACAGGCGTGTGAGCGCTCCCTGCTGCACGATTCGCTGGTGGTGTTTGTCCTCTCGCATGGCTTCGAGGAGGCTGTCTATTGCTCGAATAGCATTGCTCTGCGCATATCGGACATCGAGAATGTGCTCTGTAGCTACGATAATTTGTACAACAAGCCAAAGCTGCTCATCATCCAGGCGTGCCAGCAGAAGGATAAGAAAAACAATGCACTGCCGGTAAAATGACACAATTCCTGATCCTTTCTTTGATTCCTCTTTGATCTTGTTGCTGTGTCTTTTAGTTCAAGATCAATGCGAGCACAAAGTCACCCGGACAGCACTTGAATATGCTGCGTGCCATGTCCACTGTGCCCGGCTTTGCAGCGTTGCGACACACCCACACCGGCAGCTGGTTCATTCAGTGTCTGTGCGATGCCATTGCCGAGCATGCGGATAGGTAAACCCACAATCCACAATCCATAATCCAGAAGCTCCTCCAAGCTTGTTTCCTCAAACGTTTTCTCCTTCTCCTCTTAAAGCCATCATATTTTGGACATTCTGACGATAGTCATCAATAATGTGGCCAACAAGCTGGGCAAGAAAAACGAGACCATGGTGTCCTGCATCTGCGTCACGTTACGACAACACGTTTACTTTCCACACAGCAGTGCCGCGGAGTTGCAGCTTCCCAGAAGTATCTAGAGCAGAGCATGGACATGAGATCTGTAGATCCCTTTTTAATTAATTTAGCTATTATATTTCTAAGAGCCTTAAAGTAAGCATACCACGGGGTAGTGCTTTGCAAAGTTGTTAACTGAATGCATTTAATTTGTTTGTTATATTCATGGTAAATATAATAAGATCCCAAAACCATACAGAAACTATACAGCTGTGGTGGGAACATCTTGATCATTTATTTGTTGTTATTATTTTAATCAATTACAGGTACCATTTCTACTTGTTTATACTAATATAGTACAGTGCATACAGACATTTATTGTATTGTGTATTTATTATTATATTGTACATCAAATTGTGTAACTTATCAATCAGGTGGCGCGCTCCTTCTTGGTTTTCTTCGTTGCGACTGGCGCCGGCTCATCTTGGGTTGTGGTTTTGCGCTTCACTTTGGTCTCAGTTTGATGAAATTGATCCAATGACTTGGAGATGTTCGTGAGGATTTTCTTGGTCTCTTCCAATTTGGGATTCAGATATTGTTTGAGTGTCTTCAGCTCCTGCACTATGCTGGGTGTTAGGGGATCGGTTTCCAATAAATTTGAGGCATACTTCTTCAGCCCCGCAATGACAGACTTTTGGGTATGGACCGTGGGCTTGATGCGATTCTTGTGTGCAGCCAAGAGCTTTACAATTACGAGACGCTTCATTGGATGTGTGGCTGTGGCATGCAAATGCGAAACCAAAAGGGCAACCAACTGATTGACGCCCGGCCAGGTCGGTTCGTACTGAAAGATGGCCTCGAAGCCGAACAGCGGCTGCTTGGATTTGCGGCCCGGCAGCCACTCATCCAGCATGGCCTTCAGCAGCGGCCAGGCGACACTGTTGTCAATGTCCTCCTTGTCGGAGCATTGGGTTATCAGGGCGGCGAAGCATTTATCGCGCCACATGACCAGCCGCTGCTGCAACTCGCGCGAGTTGGGCACACCGCGAATTTGCCGGGACTCCAGGGCCGAACTGGTGGCGGCAAACAGCTCCTCAATGGCAACAGGTATCTGGCCACGATCTTGGGCATCCTCAAATGTGATTTCCTTGGCAATCAGCTTGCCCAGCAGCTTCTGGCTGGCATGATGCAGCGGTCGCTGATCCTTGACACTGATGGTGCGACAGAACACTTGATAAACGCACTGGAACACATCGAGAATGACGTCCAGCGTGGGCTTCTTGCTGGCAAACACTTCCACCAGGTCGAGCACGCGTACACGAAAATGCAGCAGGCTGGTGCTGTGAATGCGATCCGATTTTGTGGGTCGCTTTTTGCGCTGTTGCGTCTGATGGCGCACCTTAAAGATGGCCGCCAGGGACTTGTCCAGACGCTTGCCACTCTCCTCATCCACATCGTTCCAGTCGACGCTGCTTGCCTCGCCATCATCATCGTCGCCATTCTCCAGTGCCTGGCGAACCGAGTCGCGAAGCTTATCCAAAGCATTATCAGCATCTTCCCCAGCACCTTCACCTTCTTCCTCCCCGTCATCAGAGTTGTTATCTTCGTCGGCGCTTGAGTCATCGTCATTGCTATCCTCCTCCTCCTCATTTTCATTCTCATTCTCCTCCTCATCGCTGCTGCTCTCGTCTCCGTCTTCACCCAAAGGATTCGAATCCATATCGAGGCGCTGCAGCATTTGCAACAGATGCGCCTGCCCCAGATGCGGCAGCATCGATTTCAGAATTATATTTGTGAATTCTCGCCAATGCGCAGCCGTCTCCAGCAGCAGCTGCAGCAGGATGTCCGTGACCACCTCCTGCCAGCTGGGCTCCTCCTCGGACTCCACTTTCTGTTCGCTTATTTTCATCTTGCGACAGACCAGCAGATCATTGAGGATTGAGCTCGGCAGCTGGCAGCACGAGGTGTACTGGGCCAGGCCCACAAATAGGATCAGAACTTCAATGATTTGTGCGCTGTCTTCGTTGTCGTCGCTCTTCTCCAGCTCTGTCAGCACATCCCAGGCCAGCTGCTGCTCATCGTTGGAGGCGTGCCGTTGGGCGCTACTGTTCAGCGTTTTCGACATGAATTTCTTCAAAAACTTGACAGTGGTTCGCAGCAACTGGCACAGCTCCTTGATGTCACCGTGGCAGTTGCGCACGAGCGAGCCAAAGAAGATTGTTTTGCAGCGATCGGCTGTGGCTTCGCTGAGGATTGATTCGGCGGGCAGACAGGGCTGCAGGCCAGCTGCCACATGACAGTGGCCGGCGGTCAGTATTGTCTTTAGCATTTTCCAGCGTTTATCAGCGTTCTTGCCCTCAAGCTCCGTATGCTGCAGTATGGCCTGCATTTGGTTGACGCACTCCAGCTGGTTGCGCGATCCAGATCCATTCTCTGGCTGTGCTTCCGCGCCGACAGGCGTTGCCAGCAGCGTTGTGTTGAGGTCAAAAATAGTCTGCAGGCCTTCGTATTTCAGTGTATTCAACAATGTTTCGGTGAAGCGTCGCATGGTGGCAATCTCATTCAAATTTCCCCTCTTGCTGAGCAAATTGCTTAGGATCTTTGCCTTGGTTTCGTCGCCAGTTGCTGGATTTTCAAAGAGCAAAACGACAGCGCACTCAAACTCCTGGCATATCCGGCGTAGCTGCAGTGTCAATGGCTTCTCCTTCTTGGCGCTGACTGCCTTTGCGGCCAAAAGTTCGTCCAATATAAAGTCCATCAAGGGACTGGCGAACAGGTCTATCAATGGCTGCTCGTTGCCGCTTCTGTGGCTGACAAGCTGATGCTCGAGCACCTTAAAGATGCACCCCTTCGATGCCACATTCTGCGCCCTATGCTCATACGCATATTCCAGCCACGATTCGAGCATCTCGGCATTTGTGTCGGCCGTGCCAAGGAACTTGCCGAACCTCGCATAGATTCCGGCATCGTACATCTTCGGAGCGGCTAAATATATCCTAAATAATTCCGAATACCTTGTCTTCGTGGGCCACAGTGTGGCCACCAGCTGGTCGTGTGTGAGCACATTGTTGTAGCTGTCGTGCACAGCCAAAAGAACATCAAAGGTGTGCAGATTCAGCTCAGACACGGGCTTGGCAATCTCCTTCTTCAGCACTGGCCAAACGTCTGTCGCGAAACGTTCCTCGGGTACCTGGCGGGTGGCATTATTAGATATTATGGGAGTGTCTAAGTGTAAGTGCAAGTGGCTCACCGTCTCGAATGATTCCACAATCAGATTGTTGCTCATGCACATGAGATACTCGCGTCCCTTCAAGTAACTCATTAGCTTCGTGTAGATGGGCGCCAGCTCTCGCTTGGTGGACGATTGTTTGGTGGATAATTGTATTATAGTTCCGGCGGTGATCATCTGGCCGACTGCCGCCAGAGCCTCTTCCTTCTTTTTGGGCTGCCCGTTGACGGGCAGTTCGCGCTCCACAATGTCCAGCAGATCGAGCTCGTTCACATAGGGCACGTTCTTGATGATTAGCTTTATGATGCTGCCCACCTTGGCGGCTGTATTTTTGTTGTCCGCACCCGTGGCGCGTATCAGCCGCTTCACAACATATGTGGCTGTGGCGTTGCGCTGTCATTTGAAAGATTCATCAGCGGAAAAAGAAACGGAAATGAACTGGTGTGGAAGCCCATAAATAAATGCAACTGGGAACCCACCTTTTCGGACGACTCCTCTTGCAGCAGAGCAACCAGATCCTGCAGCATCTTTGGCGTTACATTTGTGCCATCTTGAAAGTTCTTCAAAATGCCAAACACGCGCTTGTCGATTTTGTTTCCAGTCCCAGTCTGTCCGCTCTTTTCGCTCGGTGTCTCCTTGCTCTGTTCCTCGCCGTCGTCGGTCTTTTTGGGCTTTTTGGAGAGTTTTTTGAGAAGTTTCACATTCGCTTCCGCATGCTGCTCATTATCATGATCGCTGCCTTCAGATGAGCCGTCACAGTCGGCAGAATCGAGCTTCATAATTTTTCCCTTTACACAATTGAAGTTATTTCCAATTATTATAGCCAAATGTTTGTTTTACGTAGGCAACGATGGTTTACTTACGTTCATTGTTATTGTTTTTAAAAACAGTTAAGCATACCACGTAGAAGTTCAAGTTAGAAGCACGCGCTTGTTCAATTCAACAATTTTGAACAATTTCTTGGAGCACGTTGTGATTTGACAATAGAGATGGAACTTACTAGAACTATAATTATCGATAGGGTTATACTTTTGTACACAAAACAAGTACAAAATATACCATAATATACCAGTATATCATGAAAGTATCACCAGTACTAAAATATGTATATGCCGGTAACTTCGCATGCTCTAAAGTAAAACACACACAGGTATCTGATATGTTGCTAAATATACTATTGCAATGTGAAGATGCATAGTGTAGGAATACCGGTATAATGTTTTAAGCTAGCTATCGATGGCAGAGTGGAAATATCGCTGCGCTGCCGTAGTGAGACCAAATTGTTGAGCCGCTATTCACCTGCTGATAAATAATTGGAGTTTAAAATTCAAGTGCTACTATGCTGGCTCTCATAGCTTCAATTTAAGTAAATTTAAATTATGCATATTTTACTTTAATTATTCAAAAACAAACTCTTTTAACACTGCTTACTTTTCCCCATAAGGTTTTATATCTGCACTCGCTGTTTAAAGTACAGGGAAATAACAGCATTAAGAAGCAGAAAGCTTCATGGAAAGCATGCGGCTGCTATGAAACCTTTAAAACTTTCAGCTATGAAGCGAGCAAACTGGCTGCTGTGAAACTCTGTTTGAATGTAATTCCATAGCAGCTACCTTCACTAGTGGAATCAAGCGGCTGGGAATGTTTTTTGTTTGTTTTGTATTTTATTGTATTAAAACTACTCTTCTATGAATTCTAGATTATGTGTATGTGGTACAGTTGTGTATAAATTGTTATAATAATATTGTATAAACGGATTGTGTGCTTTGTTGTTGGCTGCCTAAAGCATTGGATACGTTTTTCCACTAGAAATGCAATTGGATCGCGGTTAAATAAATGCCTCTCGTCCACAGTCCGCACATCCCCACATGACGTGTGAAGGATGCGTACGATACAGTGGAATGATGTGCAAAATCTTGTGCTTTTGCACTCGAGTAGAGTATGAGTGTAAAGTAGGGGGGCGTGGGGGGTTTGAACACATGACGGATTCTACAATACAATACGTAAATCAGAGATTTCGGATCTGCAAATACACAGACAGACCAGACATAATATGGCGTTGTTTGGTCCGAGCGTAGATGAGTATGGATTTGTGTGTGTTTCATTCGTATACATATATACATGTCCGGGGGCTAAGAATATGCACCAGATTCATAAATGGGAGACTCAAAATTTTGCTAACAAATGATATTGCACGTCCCAACGGCCAGGCAGCGTCGTACACTCAAGTGTTGTCGTAGTACCCGAAAAAATCGGGCTGATACGGATCTCACGCCGCCCAACGCGACTTTTGCAACTCGATTTGACCCTCCAGTGTCTTGGCCAGATAGATGACAAGCAGTTGGATGAGCGCAATGCCCAGGGCAATGCCAGCAATCACATAAAGGTTGCGCTCGGCCCAGACGCGCACGATTTCGATGCATCCGCTGGTCCAAATGCGCTTGCTGGCGGCTACCACAGTGTGCTCCTGCACCCCATAGCCACACATAATGTTGACTAGACCCGAACTGATGTCGGTGGCATTGATGCAACAGCTATAGGGCACACCGCACCTTTCCACGGACGGTGAGGAGCAGTTGAAGTACTCGTTCTTGCCTGAAAGTTGACAGTTTAGTCACGTTTGGTTAAACATTTGGCTACAGTCAGATATTGTTGGAATCAATTGGCAGTCACTTACTCCAATCCTGATAGCCGGCATTGCTGAGTCCGCAGCACTTGAACTCCTGCTGGGCAAAGTCCACAAAATTCTGCAGATCGGGATCATCGCGATACGAGTGTATAATCGTTTCAGTGAACTCCTTCTCCAGGAATGTGTTCATTAGTTGGGGAAAGATGAAGCAAACGATGGCTAAAAATATTAAATTTATAGTTAAGAGCATCGAAATCGGGAGTGGGAGTGGGTGGGCTCTCTCACCAATTGCCATTTCCATGAGAAAGAAGAGGAGCAAGCACATGGAGTAAAACTTCAGCAGGCAGGTGTTTTCGCGGAGCGCACCAAGGCAGCCAGCAAAGCTGACCACAAATATGACAATGCCCGTGATGATCATCACGAGCGAAATGTTGAGCACGACATCGTAGATGGTCTCCAGCCTTACACCGCCATTGGCCTCCTCCCACTTGTCCTTGAAGGCGTAGATACCGATGCCCAGCAGCAGGCCACCGAACAGCCAGAAGATGAAGTTGAGCATGAAAATCATATACTTCACGCAGGTGCTCACAAATGTGAAGTGGTGCGGATGCATCATCCGCGGATGCATGTCGCGCACCTCAATGCCGCTGTAGCCACGCACTCCGCCACCACCTTCATTCTGGTATCTATAATTACTCATTGGATCTGCTTGTGGCTAATAATACTGTTTGGTTGTCTCCTAAACAAGAGCAAAATGTAATTTTTCTTCATTTTCTGCTCTTCTTTGTTTGCTCTCTAGAGTTGAGTGTTGGTGGGAGACTTACCCTCTTGTCTGTTGCTGCGCCGCGCTGTTCAGATCTTTTCAAGATCCACAGTTGGTCAATAACGCTTTGGCTGTACGATGATTATAACTAATGTTTAATGCATGTATGTATGTGATGTGTGCAATTAATTCAAGTGAAATGTATAAAAAAAAACCAGACAATGACAACAATTGCACAGGGTTGTGTCGCGCCTGTTGGTCGTATATCGTGTATCGGATGCAAATATCGATAGCTGTGAACAGACAGCTCAACAAATTCGAGGGAAAATTTAAAAATGTACTTCTTTTAAATTGTTATTTTAATGCAATTAAAAAAAAAAGGTTTAACATATTGCTTCATATTTGTACTTATCTATCCACGTTAAACATTGAGCATTTATTTTGAGTGCAATTGGTTAAGGATAATGACACTTATCGCCATTCGATGTTCGGTGACGATGAGTGATCCCGCCACAACCTGCTGATTAGCTTGTAGCTGTTTTTGTTATCTGAAACATAAACATATGTATAATATAATCATCTGAATATAAATAAATGGAAGGGAACGCCGGCAGCGAATACTACAAATCGAAAAGCTCAAATCTCAAAACTCAAGTCTGCTGCCTGTTGCGCTGCTCTGTTGTAGCATTGACCTTTGAGCTGGTACAACGTCTGGCGCTGGCTATCGATGGCAAAGCGGACTCTTTCGTGCACATGAATCAGCTCTGGGCGCAGGGCGAGGGGCAGATAATAACAGAGCGTGCGTGCGAGCGAGAGGACCCATGCAAATCCCGCAATAGCCCAAAACGCAAAGTCGGATCCCACTATCGAGTCGATAAGCAATCAGTTGATACGTACAGAACACTTATTGCCCGGCAATAACAATAACCGTATTTAGTTGATGTCAACTTGGCGACGCCTCAGTTTGTGTGTTGCATTCGCTGCTGCTTCAGTCAAGGCCAACAACATCATGAACTTCCTGGTGCGCTTCATTGTTTTTTGCTTCGATCCGCTGGGTCTGGGACGACGCTTTTTGGTGCGGCCAGCCCTCAATGTCGGCTGGAATGTGTACGATCGGGTGCGCAGCAAGGCGGACGAGAAGGTGGGCACTGTGCGGGAGCTGGTGCTGCGCCTGGGACTGATCGCCTTTGCCGTCGTCCTGATCATCTGGCTGGCCGTGTTCATGTACGCGGCCTTCTACTATATCTACATGCCGGCCATTTCGCACACGCGCCCCGTTCACATGCAGTTCAAGTGAGTAAATAATGGTTGCCCAGTGCGTATATGTATAAAAACTTACCAACGACCATCAATTGTAGAACATGCCTGGAGACGAGCACTCCCTGCACCTTCCCGCACGCCCACGTCTCGCTGACCAAGAAGCAACAGCTGCTGATGGTGGGCCAAGCGTACAAGGTTATCGTGAATATTGATATGCCCGAGTCGCCGCAGAATCTTGAGCTGGGCATGTTTATGGTGTGCGCCGAGATGCGCGACTATGACTCTCTGCTGCGCGGCCACTCGTGCCGCTCGGCCATGATGCGCTACCGTTCGCCGCTCATCCGAATGATATCCACGTGGGCCCTCAGTCCGCTGTATGTGCTCGGCTGGAAGGAGGAGTTCCAGCAGGTGCCGGTTGAGATATTCTCACGCTATCTGGAGGAGCGACAGCATCCCATCACCGATGTCTATGTGGAGATACAGTCGCAGAAAATTCAGTTCTACACGGTCACACTGCACATAGTGGCCGATTTTACCGGCCTGCGCTACATAATGTTCAATTGGCCCGTCCTCTCGGCCATAGTGGGTATGTTTCAATTGAGTTGGCAGCACGCCCCAAGGCGATTATCATCTAATTCTGTTTTGTTCTGTTTGCGCCTGATCCATTTCCAGCCATTAGCACCAATCTATTCTTTATATTGGTCGTTTTTCTGCTCAGCTGGTACCACTGGTCCGACGCCAGCTGGCTGCACAGTCTGCAAATCAAGTACGCACGGCTCACGAACACGCTGCAGTCCGGTGCAGGCAGTGTGATCCTCTCCAGTACCAGCACGAGCAGCCTGCGCGACGACGATCTTCTCTCGCTGGACGAGAAGTCTGACATAGACGATGTTGGCGGTGGCGATGCCGATGATCTGATGGTGGAAAAGTCCCTGGACAAGCACAGCCAGCATGGACGGGACGCCAAGGATGCGCTGCGTCAGCGCAAAACGAAACGGACCGACAAATGATGTCCGGTCCGCTCCCCCTCCGCAACGTGACGAAGGCAGATCGATGAGCATCGAAAGCAGTAGCAGTAGCAGTAGCAGCAGCAGCAGCGAGCAGTACCGCCAAAGCGATGCTTGAGCCAAAGACTAATAGGTTTAGGATTAACTTAGTTACTCTTACGATGCTGCAGAGCAGCGACGTTTGCATTCTATCTGAAGTATTCTGGCGCTCCTATAAATGCCCAACTCTAATTGTAGTCACAACAAAAGATAAATATGAATACATTTCAATTGAAGTTGTAAAATTGGAAGCTACATGTTACAGAAGTGTCTGCCTCGTGTTTGGAGCTCAGCTGGCCAATCAGCTGTTGGATCATCTTTTGCCACTCCTCGCCTGCTCGCCAAATTTGTGCACGTTTTTCTTGCTTTCTTCGAGCAATTTCTACATATGTGTGTGTTTGGTCAAGCCGGTCAAGTGATATTAATAATATATAACAACAGTGGAGGGGAATATGGATGTAGCTTAGTATATTCTCTTGTTGAATGAGTGAGTCTGCGAATCTGCCTCGTGTATTTATTTAATTAACACTAATTCCGGAATGCTGGCCCAGCCAGTTGCACGTCCTCGTCAATATTTGCCACAGCCCCGGGTCCGTTTGGGAGATTCATTGAGCAAATAAACATTAGGCAAGTCGCGTGTTTCAATCCCCTCCGCCTCACAGATGTGGTGGGAGATGTGTTTGCCTGTTCCAGTTATCTGAGTGTGTGTGTGTGTGTGTCTGTGTAGCAGCCAATGCAACTGCTAACACTCAGTGCGGTGTGTGGTGAATATGTTAGTAAATTCACCTTAAGCCAATGTAAAAATGCATTCAAAATCTTGTGGTTTGTTCTTTTTTATTTGGTTTTTGTTTTCTTGTACATGGTATGTACATATGTATATGTTTGTATGTATATGTAGCGTAACTTGTAATGACATAACTAAATTTTACAATTATTCCTTCACTTCCTGTGCTTTGTCCTAAGTGACGACGAAAAAAAAAAACAAAAAAAAAAATATTGTATACATTTATATCTGTATGGATATGTTATAGAATGTTATTTGATACATATGTATGTATGTTTATATATAAAGATAAGGGTATATACGTATTGTATGTATATAAATGTTTTATATCATAATAGCAATAATAACAAACAATAATTGACAACAGAGGGAGGGAGCTTCGCTTTTGCTTTCGCTTTTGCTTTGCTTCGGTTTTTTTTGTTCGGCACCATTTATGTTGGTCTCGTCTCTAACTTCCTTCTGCTGTTTGCTGTTCAGCTGGCGCCGGCGCTTGCCAAATATCTGTATATAGTATATATGTAGGTATGTATATATTACTTACTACCACTACTACACACAAAATACATATCGTACATACAATACATAAATCGATCGCAATCGATTCTAGCTGCTATATATTTGTATATATCTTCTCGCTGGCTTAGGGTTTGTGGGGTAGTTGGGTGGGTTTGGCTTCTTGGTTACTTTTTGTGGGGCTTTTGTTTTGTTTTTCCGATTTAAATTCCGATAGGCGTTAAAATTAGACCAGAACGATTTGTATCGTTATCGTAATTGTTATCGCTATCGCTATAATAATTACCGATGATACAAATAGTCGTGTTCCCATAGCACACACACCATATATACACAAAGGGGCTTGTGGTTGGGGTTGGGGAAAATTAAATGTTGGACTGCGGTGTGGGTTTGCTGGTGGGTGGGGGCTTGTTCCTGTTCTTTCTATCTGCAGCTGGCTCTGCTGCTGTTTTTACATAAATATTTATATTTTCTGGTTTACTATTTTTTGTTCTTTTTTTTGGCGATTTGTTGTTGAAATTTTGTTTCGTTTGGCTGCTAGTTTGGTAGCACCAGGAGACTCCCTAGTTGAGCTCCTTCCGCGTCGTATTGGGCAACAGGAGGCACATGAGACCGCCGCCGATGAGCAGGCCGGAGACAATGAATGTCGGCGAGGGACAGTAGTTGTCCAGCAGCTGGGCAATCACAATGTTGCCAATGATGCCGCCGAGACGGGCGGCCACCATGGAGATGGCAACACCGGTGGCACGCAGCTTGGTGGGGAATACTTCGGTGATGAGACAGTCGAGGGCCGCATTGGCTGCCGAAATGGCGCCACTGAAGATCGCCGACACAATGAGATTCTGCAGGGAGCTGCGCACAAAGTACATGAGGGCCGAGCAAATGCCGGCGGTCATCGTGCCGGCAATCAGGAAGAACTTCCGCCCCAGCATATCCATGCCGAGAATGGCCAGCAGATTGGCGGGCAGGGCGGAGGCGAGCGAGATGAGTGACTCCATGAACACCGACTGGGGTATGTCCGAGGAGCAGGTGCCATTGTTGGCACTCTCGCGGGCAATGCCCACCACATACTCGGTGACCGTGCAGACGCCGGCCGACGTGTCGGGGAAGGCCTTCTCGTACTCCTCGAAGCGATTGAAGAGCTCCGGGAACCACATCAACAGTCCATAGTAGCCAATGTGGAATGTAAAGTTAATGGTGATCGAGACGATGGTGAATCTGAGAATGGGCGACTTGAAGAGCGCACGACTGTGGTCCACCATGCCGCTGACCATCCGCGAATACTTGTTCTTGCTGTTCGCCGAGCTCTCGAGCAGCTTCTCGTCCACCTCCAGATCGTAGACCATGTACTCGTCCGGCCGCTTGCGTGTGTTCGTCACAAAGATGCCGCGGAAGATGGCCAGGGCGCGATCCTTCTTGCCGCGCGTCAGCAGAAACTTGGGCGACTCCGGCAGATAGAAGAGCAGAAAGCCGACCAGGAACGATGGCAGCGAGCAGACCAGCAGGAAAATGCGCCACGAGTTGTATGTGAAATATGGAGTCATGAAGCCAATGTCCGTGGGTATGATCAGCCAGGCCAGGCCGGCCACAAACAGGTTACCAAAGGTCCAGAAGGCAGCCATGAAGCTCAGCATGGAGCCACGTTTCGCTTTCGGTTGGAATTCGGCAAAGTACGACCAGATGACAGGACCACTGCCTCCGAGCCTACAAAAAGGAAGGGACAAAATAATTGGTTGGTATATTTATTTAGTATTTTAGTATATTTAGTATATGTATTTCTGGGCGTACGCTCAAGTAATTAGCAGAGGATTGGGAAAAATAATGATCAATGTGGGGGAACTTGGCTAGCTGATGGGCTGAATGGATGACTAACTTATGGCCAGGGGGCCAAGGCCTGCCCATGTGGGGCAGAGATTTTCTGTGGTTTGTTTTTTGTTTTTTGTTTCCTTTTTTTTTTTTTTTGGGCTGTGGCAGCAATGGTTTCGGACTCGGGCTCAGATTCGAGCCTTTAATTAGCATAAACAGTCACGATATTGTGGCTCAAATATTTTTGTTGTTATTTATAACAAAGTTAATTGAATTAACACCCTGGGACAGCGGGGTTTCGGGGCCGTGTGTCACTCGACCAACAGTGGGATCGACAATGGATGATGGATGGGGACTGATGGGACTGCTGGGACTGCTGGGAGATATTCATTTGATATACTTTTACTTACGCTGCGCCATTGAGAAATCGAAACAGCATGAAAAACGAATAAGTTTGCGAAAACGACGACGCAACAATGCAAAAGGCATTCATGAACGAGATGACAATCAGAACCTTCTTGCGGCCAAAGCTGTCGGCGATGCTGCCCCAGAAGTAGGCGCCCACCATCATGCCAATGAAGATGATCGAATTGAGCCAGCCCTTGGTCTCCGTATTGAGATCGAGGTCACACTCGGCCGATGGCAGAATGAACGACATCGAGATGACATCCATTTCCTCCGATGTACTGACCAGGCCACAAATGGCCAGCAGTATGTAGTGGAACTTGCCATAGCCGCACAGCTCGATGGCCCGCTCAAAGTTGGCGACTATCGGGCTGGTGGGCTCTGGGAGCGGTGCCCCCTTCTTGCCGCGACGCCCGCCCTTGCCATTGTGCTCGGCGGTGCTGCTGGTGCTGGTGCTGGTGTCGCCGGCAGCGCCGACCACCGCACGCTCTACGTCCTGCTGCTTGCCATTGGTGTTGCTTGTGTCCGGCTCGTAGCCGCGATTGTCAGCCGCAAACTGATACTCTGGCTGCTTGGCGCCCGTGCCCAGGGAGTACGGCTGAATGATCGCTCGATTGTCGATGTGCGGATTGGCGTTGCCAATCGATTGGTTTGTTGGATTGCTTGCTGCGCTCTGATTGTAGTTTGGCTGTAGTCCAGCTTCTACATTATAGGCTGTAGATGATATTAGTTAATTCATTTGCACAATTCTCCCCCACTGCCCGATGGGGTATACTTACATTCGCTTTTACCTTTTGCAGAATCACCTTCTACCATTCTATAGTTCAAGTTTTTGTTGGCTTTTTGTGCGCGTAGCAAAAAGGAAATTAAATTGTTCGATTTGGATGCTGCCAGGGGCTGCTTACAGAAGTACAGTTGTGCGTGCCTTGCTTAGCGATCTGCAATTACACACAAAGAAACAGAGAGAGAGAGAGAGAGGGAAAGATATTAGTTGAAATCTCTTTGGTTTACATCTTTAACCCCGTACCCCGTGTCGACTCGCTCAATTGGGCGCCCAAGGCGAACATTGAGGAGTAATTGAATGAAATTAATAAACGATCTGCTCACGCATACAAACATACAATATACATACATCAATCGAGATCTAATTGGTGGGACAAACAGCGTTGTCGTAATTGATTAATAAAAAATTATACCCCAAAATAGTCGAGAACTAGCCAAAATGCTGAAGGCGTGAAATCTAAAAAAAAAAACCCACCAGCGCAGACGGAGCAGCGCATTGGTGCGTTTATATTGCGACGCTTTTATTAATAAATAATTGGGAAAATAAAATGATTTTTTTTTTTGTAACCTCGTCGGTTGCCTCTGCGCTTGGCGCTGTTACTGCTCTGTTAATGCAGGAGAGCGGATCGAACGCGTTCCAGGCGCACTGTTAACGGCGCACGCGCTCGAGCAAACATGTATGTATGTATGTTTGTGTGCAAATGTATGCACTAAATTATTCAATTTGGTTATTGGTTAATGGCCTGCCTGTGCGGTCACGTGCCGCAGTGCCAGCAAAACAGCTGCTAGTTAACAGAGCTCTGGATCTGGTTATGATTCTGGTCTAATTATGGCAACGGCATTTCTTTCGGCTCCATTGCAGTTTCAATTTCTGATTTATGGCCGCAATCTTTCACTTTATTCATTAGGCGAAAAGGAACAACAAATCTACAATGACCTCATCGTTCATCGATTGAATCTGCTGGCGCAAGCGAGAGGACAGGCAGTGCACGCATGCACGCATGCACGCAGCGAAGGAGAACAGGAACCGCAAGTGCAGCGTAAAGCCAAAAGATGACAGTTAGGCAGCGGCAGTGGCAGCGGCAGCGGCAGTGGCGCCAGCAGCAGAGAGCGAGCAAGAGAGAGTGTCTCGTAACATTCAGCTCTGCAGGTGGGACTGCAACAATGCATTTCTTACATTGAATATACATTCAAACATATGCTTTATGCTGCCACTATACCGATTATACCGATTAATGGTAATTCGTTGACTGAGAGCTGGTTACCGACCTCGATGCGTACAACGCCTACGCTTCCGCCGGCCCTTCACCGGCCTTCGTGCCAGGTACAAGTACAGCACCAATTTCCATTTCAATTTCTATTTGCCTTTCCATCAGAGATAGTTATGTAGATCTGATGAAATCCGATACCAACTGGATATCTACGAGGTATTCGGTTCCACTTTACACTTTACACTGCCACTGCGACTGCGATTATTATTATTTATTACGATTGTCTTTTTTCGCAGCCGCATAACTGGAAAAACTGCGTGTGAATGAAATACCTCGGACCTGGACGGGGTCCCACCAGACTCCCAGACAGACTTTCAATGTCAGCCGCTGCATGTGGGGAAGTGGGGGGAGGTTGGCATGAAGGGGAACACCGAGACTGTGCTGCTTGGATCGTTTATGGTGCAGCATTTGTTTTGCTCTTTTTTTTCCATACATATCTCAAATTAATTAGCACATCAAAAGTGAGACATTGCGCCTTTAGGTGGCATGCTCATGATCTATGTGATCGAAACGGATTTCAATGATTTCAAGAAGCTGCTATATGAAATTATTGCTTGAAACCCTTAATTATGAATCCTTACTTCTAGCTTTCTAGCTAAAAAACAATCTTAATTGCTCTACTCCCAGTAATGCTGGTGGCACTTTCCAAGATTTCTTCTGAAATTCTACAATAACATTCTGGGTTCTGGTGCATTCGGCATTTAAGTCTCGCTAATTGGTTCGTTTACTAATTTCCTTGACTCGAGCAACCGATAATGATATTCGTTTGTTTTTTTTTTTTACCTGTTTACACCTGTTGGCTGGTTGGCTGGTTGGTGGGGGGGGTACACGAAACGAATCGAACCGTTTTCGCTTAATTGCACTTGGGGCAGGGGAGGCCTTATTGTTTATCAATAAATGATTGTATCTTTGACAAAAGGGGCAGACGGGAAAGCTGCTCGTTGCACTTGCTTTTCGGGTATTTCTTTTATTTGTATTTATTTCATATGTGATTTTATGTTGCTGTTGCTGTTGCTTTTGGGTCTTTGGATTTCGTTTGGAAAGTATACTAACAAATTGTAGTTATTTCGAATTTATTTTTGGGTGTCAGCTAAGCGACTGTTTCTGCTTTTTTTCGATTTTGTTGGTTGTGGTGCGCAAAGTTCTCAGGTTGGCCCGACAATTTTCACTACTAAAAACTTGCGAAAACATTAAAAACTTTAACGGTCGGACGCGGTGCGGGAATGCCGAACTTGCTGCATTGGGAGTCAAACGTAAACGAAAACGAAGACACACACAAACACACACAGAAACTCAAACAATAATAATAACAAAATACAATTAAAAAACAAAAAAACCGAAATTCGATTTGGTTGATTTTGGCGTTTTACTACAGCTGGCGGAGAGCGTAAGCCGGGGCGGTACGTTTTAGCGGTATTTAGCGGGTCTATAGCGGGTCTCTCGATGAGCGTTTGTTCGCGCCAAATGGTGGAAAGTATCTGAGAAGCGTTACGCGCGCGCTTAAATACACCAAAAAGGCGTCCCAAGCTGGAGACAGTGCCGCCACGATCGTGTCGGAACAAACTGGAACTGGAACACGCCCTGAGGCGGGCTGGGCTGGCTGGGCTGGCTTATCAGAGCAACGTTCAGAGCGACGACGCGGCTTTCCCGTTCCAGTGCACACCGTGTTCCCCCTCCCATGTTCCATTGTTCCCGTCGGGCTAATTAGAATTCAAAATTTAGGCGCGAACCGCAGAAATAGTTGGAACTGGTCGGCGTTTCCCGGAATCCGAAACAATAATTCATCATTAAATGTTCAGTTTGAAACTATTTATATGAAAATCTTGGAAAATTGTAATTACATAAGAGAGAACCTTTTGATCATGATTTCCCTTTGGCATCAGTTCATGATCTTTGCGATTCAAGTTCATAACTTCTGATGATTAACGATGGATGGACACGGAGAGAGAGAGAGAGAGAGAGAGAGAGATGACAAACCCAATGAGAGAGTCCGTAAACCCTTTTGTGAGGGTTGAACAATTAACGGCAGCAGGCAGCGGCTTAAGTGATCAAAAGAATAATACTTGATACTTATAAACGGCATTATTATTATTATGATTGTTGTTGTTTGTGTTTATATACGTACATATACTGCTGATATTGTTATATATGCACAGCGCATTGGGTGTTGTTGGTTTTCACTGCGATTACTGATACATTGGAATCGATGCGAGCGAGCAATGATCGTGTAAGCTGGCCATGTGACTGAGTCAGCAGAGATACAGATACGCAGTCGCAGAGACAGGGAGGAAGTCTCTCGAAAAGCAATATAAACAATTCAAATATGAAGAAAGATTCAACAAGTAATTACAGGTAATTACAAGCCAAAAGTCCATCATTACGCGGCTAGGACGTAGATCATTCCTGTGTCCTAAAAGTCAATCAGTGGTGGGCTAATTGCCTTTGACTTGCTGGCGCTTTTGCAGCTTCAACGTTTACACGTCTCTCCAGAAACTCATGATAAGCAAAGCAAAGCGAAGCATGGAAAGTGCAATCTGAGATCTTTTTTGTACGTATGCAGAGTTCTTTGAGAGTCACGTTTTGTGGCCTTAGATTAAATGAAAGCGTGGACCCAACGGGTGGGGGACTTGCATAATAGTTGATTAATCCACAAGCCCCAACCCATTCGGGTATTCGTTTGTGGAGCGTAACTTGACGCTAATTTCTGGTTGCCTCATTTGGGAAATTATTATCGCACCTCCGACCCGAGCTTCGAGGTGGGGAACGTGTTCTTTACTCATTTCACATTTCTCATTGTCACTTTAATTTCAATTTTCGCCATAATCAAACTGTACTTTTTCCTCCCATGTGTGTGGGTTTATGTGTGTGGGTGGCCTGGCCTGGCCTGGCCACAATTAATTTAATTAGACATTTCTGAAATGCTTAGAAATTGTCATCCTCTGCCTCCACCCACAGCAAAACTGTCAACAAACAGACACAAAACAAACAACATTTTGATGGATAATTATGCTCTTTGACGGACAGCCTAATTCCTCAAACAAAGCATTCATAACGTATAAACCTTTGTGTGGAGTTGAAACTGAGCGTTGAACTTTGAAAAGTTTGAGCACCTCGAACTCGGGGGGAGGATCAGTCGGCTCGCATGCCAAGGGCTGAGTTCCAAATCCATAAACAAGTGTGGTCTTTTTCCTTTTCCCCTTTGCAACTATTCAGGGAACTTTTTCATTACAAAGAAAGGAGCAGGCGCAGCTATGAAACGATCCGAAATGGAACGCTGGGAGGCTGGGTGGTGGATGTCTTGGATATCGACAGCTGCTTGGGTTGGGTTTCTGCATTCGCTTTATTCGAGTTCAATTTGGGGCGTACGTGCATGTGTCCGTAATGTGTCCAAGTTTAATCTATAAACAATAACAATTTAAGCACATACTCGTACATATTTATGTACATGCTCATTGAGTGTTTTGTTATTGCTGAATTTTAAAGAAAACTGCGTGCGGCCCGGGCCCGTCCCGGCCCAAACTTGTTCGAATTGGTTTTATTTCTTTTTTGTAGTCTTCACTCCTTCACGCGCTCTTTCTTCATCTTCAATTGATATCCGTCCCTGCACAACACATTTCAATTAATTGTCCAATTCTCAATTGAAAACAATATTGTGCGAAACGAAACGAAAACAAAAGTCTCAGAGAGGCAGAGCGTCTTATAGAAGAAGAGCATCAGAAGAGCGCCAGAAGAGCAGATGGACAGCATTAAACATTAAAAGTGCTAGACGGAATTCCTAGTTTCGTATTCGATCGATCGATCCATGAAGCAACTATATAAGGAGGTCTCGTCGGCAAAAATAAATGCGAGTGAAAGGGCTCTTGCTGTAGGTGTTAGTGAAACGACAATGGGGTTTGCGCTCAACCTTCCGTGTCGACAAGCAAATTTAAGGAAATAAGACGAGAAACGATGCCGACGACGAGACCTTCTTATAGTTACTTCATGGATCGATCTATGTGCGAAAAAGTCGAAGAAGCAAAACAACGCATGACTAATGCTCGTCTGGAATTGAACTCTCTCTCTCTCTCTCTCTCTCGGCAACGGCAAAAAACCTTCTCCAAGCTATTCTAGATCAGTGTGATTCAAGTGGCTGCAACAATACGACTCAGACTCGGAGATCATGGGAGCTGATTAGAAGAAGAACTCCTGAAGAGATTGAAGCGATCTTGCATCGTCTTGTAAGAATGAGGATCGCTTTTTTCGAACGGAGCGGACAGGTGTTTCTGTACCTTCCCGTTTTACCCGTTCAGCCGTTTGCCAGCAATTTGCTTTCTTTTTCCCTTTTTTTTTTTTCGTTCCGCAGGCGTGCGACAATTTAGTTTGCATAATTAATTTATGCATTAATTTTGTTTTTTGATATTTTAAGCCTTTACTCTGTACTGCGTTGCGAAGTCATCGAATCAGATCGGAGCGGAACGGAACGGAACGGAATAAAAAATGTGGAATAATGCCCGCGACGGCTGGGCAGTCAGAAAAAGAAGATTTCGTTTTGCATCTTAATCTTATTTACGAGTTAAAAGCACCAGGAAGAAGCGTTACGAAAAACCAATTGAAACTCAATTAAATCTCAATGATGATTCATGAATTCATAACATGTTTATCCTTGGCTATAGCTACAGGGAATAAGAGATTTTTTGGGTTACGCACCTACTGCCAATGCTGTCGTTGTTGTTGTCGTCGTCGATTTCGCAAACTTAAACGTTTTTCTGCCCTCCGGACCTGGTTGGTAACAATGCACGTGAACGGCACTCAGCGATTAACGGAATTGGATATACGGGAATACGGATACGGATACGGATACGATAAGTATGTGTGGTTGGTTCACTGGTTGGAGGAGCTCCACGCGGCTCCAAGAGCGAATGGACAATGCGTTCCAAGTGGCGTCGGGGAGGCTCTTTTATAATCGCCAGCGGCACGCCACAGTCCCTGTCTGTCCGCCGTGTCTGAGGGTCCGTCCCGAGTCCGTTAGTTTGTTCACTGTCTCTTTGTTTGGATGCTGCTGGCGCTCACTCTCCCCTCTCACTCTCTCTCTCTCTCAGTCGATCGTTGCCGCTCGTCTCCATCCCCATCGCGCAGGCCCAACCGCGTGTGTCCGCCACTCTCGGGTGGCGCTCTCGGTTCTTGTCTTCTGTTTCTGTGCTCTGTTTCTGTCTCTGTCTCTGCCTTTGGTTCTTGCTCTTGACGTTATCGCCCAATGGATCGCACAACAGAAGGCAGGTGCGGGTGCGGGTTGGCAAAATCTGAGCACGATGCCAGTAGCCATACCAGTAGCCGAGCGAGGCATCGTTGTGGTGTCGCACTTCTCGATGCCTATCTGAGGGCCAGGCTACCCGCTTTGTTCTTATCAGACAGCGCCAGACTCTGGCTGTGCTGTTGGCAAGCAAAAAGTGCAGCCAGAAATATCATAAATAATAGCCAAAAAATGTTCAACTGAAAATGCAAAAATCAGTGAGGAGCAGCTAAAAGTCAATTCAATCAAATCAAATATTATAGAACAAAAATGATGGCTCTGCCCATGGGGACTTGCATCCCAAATCCTGGAGTCAAAATCACCGTTACATATAAATGCACAGATCTGCAAATACATACATACATACATACATATACGAGTGACTGCGTGTATGTGTGTGTTTGTTTTGTGTGACTCCCTCGCATGTGCCGTCGTTTGCGTTTGCGTGCTGATGGCTATGTCCACACCACCGCCACAGCCGCTCTCTCGCTCTCTCTCGCTCGCCTTGTCCATCTTATCCACATCCACCCCCCATTCCCTGGATACACTGTGTCTCCCTGCCCTGATGGCGGCAAAAGATCTACGTAATTTTTGTCATTTCATAGAAAACAAAAACAAAACCAAAACCAAAAATGAAATAAACACACAACAAAAGCTGTTGTGTGTTTGTGTGTGCAAAGTGTTTTTCCGCAGGCCATAGCCATGGAATTGAAACGAGAGCGCGTCCAAGTTCAGCGAGGAATGATGTATGCTCATACAGACATATGTATATACATACATATGTATGTACACATTTACATATTTACATATTTATGTTGCCCCTTTACGGTGCATTTAAGAGGATAACTGAGAGCGGTTTGAATGCCAATTCGAAGTTCTCCAGAGAGTGGGAATAGGAAGAGCTTTTCGTGTAACCTCTGGAGTGACTTCTAAGCCCGATAAAGTGCATTGGGAAATAGTTTCAAGCAAGAGACACTGCCGCCTATAGCTTTATCACGAATAATTTTTCGGCCTAGCTTTAAATGCCAAAAAAATGGAACCAATATTCATTAAAATTCAGAGTGCCTCGAAGTGCATTTTAAGGTAATATTTAATTGAATGTTATTAAGAGTGCACCCGGAAGAGGCTTTCATGCTAACTCGGAGTAATTAGGACCATTTCGGAATAGCTTTAAAAGCACTAAAATTAATTTTATATTAAATTTTAAGTGTGCTCCCGCAAGAGTCTTGAAGTGGTTCGAATGAAAGCCGAATTATTCGATGTAATTCGGAGTTTTTCGGAGTAATTCGGAGTAATTCGGAACACTTCAGAATAACTTGAAATGCAAGCAAACGCATCGAGTTGTGCTTAAAATAAAGCGCATCGTATTTTTTTGCCCCCGCTCTTTTGGGAAATTTCGGAATCACGTAAACACAAATATTGGGCACGCGGATAGGTAAACATTTGTCCCCTGTCCCCCCCTTACGTATGTAAATATATGTACAGGCAATCTGAACTCATTTCGCTCAAGTTCAGAGCTGTTTGCCCAGTTGTCAGCTGCCAACGCTGGCAGTCTTACCGTCACCACACCGGTGGTGAGCTGAGCTGTCGACCCATGTGACCCATCCGGTGGCCATGCCCATGTCCGTGACAGCTTAGCGCGTGTCCTTTGACTGCCACAGTCTCTCGTCTGTCGTCTGTCGCCTGTCGCCTGTCCATTGGACACCAACCAAAGCCAAAGTCAACGTGTCCCCGTCCCTTCCAAAAGTGGATGTTTGCTTGCGCGATCAGATGAGATGAGATGAGATGAGATCTTTGCGTACACTCCAAGTGGAGTGGAATCGTCTGACGTCAGTGGAAGTATGTGTAGACTTTATGATGCTGCGGCTTAGGGTCTGTTGATGTATTCTGTGATTTATGGGTCAGCTCTTATCAGAGTTAAAATGTTTATCAGGCATAAATCTGCGTGTAGAGCGGATCTACAGCAGATCGGAGGCATGGCCAGGAAGATATTTTTGAGCAGTTGATCTTGGCTTTGCCCAAGGTCCAGCTCAAAAGTATGCAACGATCGAACCTCAAGCCCGAGGCTCAACTATGAACTCAAATCGGAAAATCGGTTTGCAACCCCCTTACATATCTCCCACTAGATCTGGCCTCGTAAAGCCGTCTATCTTTAGCTTTATGATCTGTCAGCGGCATGAACATTATAACGATCAAAACATCAACATTATAATTGTCTTAGCGGGGGGATTTTATATAATACCTTTCGGGGTTCCTCTGACGCACACAGCTCACTCAGCGGTGTTCGAGTGTCACGTGAATGCAAAATGCCAAGTCACTTTCGGCTACGCAATGTCTATGGTCCATCCACCCAAAACCCAAACCCAAACCCAGTTTCATTTATCAATTCCATCGCCCAATAACAATTAAGACAAGGGGAAAAGTACGACAGATCGAGTCTCTGTGACTGAATGACTAAACATTGGGCTTAAGCAGAAATCAATTCAATGCCCAATTTCATGAAAATCAAGAACCAGAAGAGCACCACAGAGCACCACAGAGTGGCCAGTGTGAACCGGTTAGAACCAATGCCAATCAACAACCCGCTGAACCTTAAAGGCGGCAGCGTCATCAGCATTAATGGTTAGTGATGTGCGGTTCAGTTTTTATTATGGTTCATATTGCGAGCTTTGTGGATTGGGCTACAGCTGACAGAGCAGTAAGGCGCCCACGATCGTTCATCGTTAAGGAGTCTTTTAGTAGTTGGTCTTCCTGTTGCACATGCCACGCGCTATGCAGCAGATCACCCGCAGATCTGCTCTGCATCGATCGTTGGAACTGGCTCCACGCCACATGAACTGCAAGCGTCATATCTATCACCCGCAGATCTGCGCTGCATCAATCGTTGGAACTGGCTCCACGCCACATGAACTGCAAGCGTCATATCTATCACCCGCAGATCTGCTCTGCATCAATCGTTGGAACTGGCTCCACGCCACATGAACTGCAAGCGTCATATCTATGGGCATCTATGGGCATGGCATCAATTGGAAGCGAAGCGATCTTTATGGGGTAACGCATTGCAACGATCGATCGAGGCACTGTGTGGGGGGACTGTCTGCTTGAGTGGCTTTTGGTGCAGAGATCTATATCATATTTCTGTGCCTAACAGGTTTGTGGCGCCCGCCCGGCAATGATGACAATAACACCATCCATTCTGGACAATAAACGCTCTATGCAAATCGCAATATCTGTGGCAATTGTTTTGGTTTTAGTTGGGGTTTCGGTTTCGGTTTCGGTTTCTGTTTTAATTGAAAATGTTTGTAACTTGTTGCTGTTTACCCTAGGGCTTTGGGGGCAACTGTCGCTGCTTGGTAATCCGCTCATTAGAGTCATTAAAAAGCTGACTACTGGATCAACAAGCAAAAAAGGGCCCCATAAAGGTGCCAGTCCGAGTCTCGTCTCACGTTGACAGGCACTGCACTGGCATGGGATTAAGAGGCTCTTACGTTGAAGCCATTACATGGTTGGGTCTGACATTTTGATGGGCAGCGCACTAGAGCCAAGGATAATGATTCGGATTAAGCAATATGCAGAGAAGATTTGTCTCCGCCTGGGAGCACTTGCAGCCCCCCACTGGAGGGCTACGCTCCTCTATTCAGAGCATGGCAATTATGCAGCTAATTGCACAATTAAAACACAGTCTATCTGGTCGGTTGTAGTTTTTGATTTGCTATTTGCTAGATTCCCTGTATATGTATCTGTATCTGTCTGTATCTGTGTATCTTTATAACAAATTCAAATCGGTTTGTCTCGTTTCGAGCCAAATAATTTATTATTGAGAGCTGCAGATGCAGCTATTTGGAACCACTCAAACCATCCACTTTTGGGCTGCAACTTCTGTCCATTCACTTTTAAAATTTCTTGATAATTTCTGCCTCGTTTCTGGCACTTCCTTGTCGCACAAAATAAATGGCTGACATTTCCATTTCCATTTCCACTTCGCACAAGTGCCACGTTTCACTTGTCTTATCTGTGAGTAAATATTTTGATTAAATTATTATTTATTTTTGTGCTGTTTCTGTCATAAAAAGACAGCGCCACAAGCGACTTAACTTGTTTAATCGCCCTGCCTTATAGTTATCTATATGAATACATTTATTCACATTACATATACATATCCGTACATATGTACATGTGTATTATGCGCTTTGGTTGAAACGTTCAAATCAAGTGCAATTACCACAAATAATTATAATTAGAAACGATTGAATGGCCAATTAGGCGTTGGATGATGAAACGCGCTTCGAGAGAAACGAGAGCCCATCGATAATACGAAATGATATGCAGATCATAGCTATAGCTAAATATTTAGGGACTCTCTTTTCCAGCGTGGCTTAGCAGGAGCAAAAACTTACCACTGCTTGCTGTAGCGGTAACAGTGCCAGTTGCAGTTGCAGTTGCAGTTGCAGATGTACCGTTCTCTGATTTTGGTTCGGCTTGTGCTGCAATATTGCTTCCATTCAAATGTTTTAGCAATTTTCACTGATCGCGTGGATTCGGATTACTTATTGCGACTTCCGCTTTGGCTCTGCCTTCCTCTCCGTGATGCTCTTTGTGTTGCTCTTTCTTGATTGATATTAATATTTCTGGCATTGATTAGGGATTTGTTGTCGCTGAGAGATCTGAAATGGAGACAACTGCGTGTAGAATGTTCAATGAACATTAATTATTATATATAGATTTCTATAGGGAAATCCAATGTGGGGGGACATGGTGGCTGTATCAAGAATTCGAATGGTTTTTTCTATCAAAACCCGCAGCACGTTTCAACCCAATTTGTTTGCAAAACAAAAGAAAGCACGTGAATTCATATGGCGCCCAAAAAAGATGAGAACCGAATCGGTTTCTATGCGAACTACGCTATGCAAGGTGCAATTTACGCACAAGGTGACGCGCTGTCCGCTGTGGGGAGGACCAATAACTTTTTCACCACGCACCGCACTGAGAGCCAAGCGCTAGAAAGGGATGGAGACGGAGTTGCCCTATGACACATCCATGTACATATGGATGTATTTGTGTAAGGTGAGTGTAAGGCTTTCTCTTGCATAAATAAAATACAGTACTGTTAACCCGTACCAGACCATATATAGATCATAATTTATATTTTGAAACTATTGAATCGGTTTCCAAGCAGCACAACAAGTGTCATTTGAGTTCTATACTTTGAATCATTTTGTTTGCCAATTCGGTGACGCAGCATCTTATGGGAAATTATGCATGTGTCCCCCGCCCGCACCCGTCTGCATAATTACACGCTGAATGGGGGGGGGGGGAGGTCAAATGGTATTGAGAAAATGTGTCTCTCACTCTCTCAAATGAGATTTTGGTGGAAAATGCCGCTAAGAGAGAAAGTTCGGTCTGGAAAATGTCAGCTCAAAGCCACAACCAGAACGCACCAGACAATACCGAGACTGGGGATACAAAAATACGTGCATACATACATATGTATATACATATGTTTATATGCACTCTCTTTGGCTCTCGCTCTCTTGCTCTTACGATCGAGGCTGTGCAACACTGACGTTGACATTGGAAATGATGATGCCTAGGGCGAGGCCAAGACATTAACGGAATATTTTTGTTTCATACTCCTTCTGCCAGGGAGGGGTATGGTGAACCATACGCCACAACACGTGTTAATCCCACCCATTGCCTATTTATGGATTGTTCCAATTTTAATTAACATGTAAATACAAAGAGGAACAACAGCAAAGTGCAAATATTCCCACAATTTAAATGCAAATTTTTAGACGAGTAAACAAAATCAGACACACACACAAACACACACACGCACACACACGCGTCTTCGTATTTATTTGTGTTACTTTTCCGTGCTGAATATGAAATGAATTTATCAATCAAATTGTATGTTAATACTAGGGCGGCAATCGGCCAACACTTTAAAGCTGCCTGTTTTTCCCAGTAATGTTTTGCATCTTAAATGGGTCCCCCCCCCAGGCCGACCCTACGCTGCGCTGCTAGTCTGTATTCCGCATACAAAATGTGTTGATGAAATGTGATTACTGGGGGAGTGCAGTGTCTGAGCCTTACTTTGCTGCCGCTGTGATTTGTATCTACAATCATTAGTAGTCAGTATTCCTTGAGATCTTCCCGTTGCAGCTGGAATTCCAAAGATATGGGAAACAATCACTTTGATATATCCGTTGATCCGTTCCAATTGCAACTTGTTCGCGCTATTTATTTTTGCATTGGTTTTCGGTTTCATTTGTTGTTGTTGTCTTTTGTGCGTGCTTCTTGTGTTTGCTGTTGCTTTGTTGTTACATTTAAATGTGTGTTAGTTGCAGTGCATTTAGTTGTTCATTGATTGGTTCACGCTCTAAAAACGTTTCGAATCGGATTGGCAGATCCACCTGATCGATCGATGGGGTTCGATGTTTGCTATTGAATTTTTCCAAGTTGCGGGCTTGCTTTTCTTTTCTTTTCTTTCTTCTTTTTCTTTTTTGTAGTCGGTTGTCGGATAATCACAGATTTCGTGTGCTAATGTCGCGGCTTGAACTTTAAAACTGAGAACGAACAATATTTCGCATTGTTTAGTTCTCTCCTCTCCGGGTGGGTGCTGCTGCTGCCTGCCTGCCTGCTGCTGCTTTAGTCTGCTATTGTTATTGTTGTTATTTGTTATTGTTATTACTCGTGTTGTTGTATTATGCTGCTGGCAGGCTAGGTGCAGCCACACAGCCCAGCTCCTCCCCCCTGAAACATCCCTTGAGCCGCCCCACCCCATGCTCATTCCCATCGAATGGCATCCCATCCCCATGCCATACCCCCTACAATGGATCGCTCAATGAGCTTGAGTGTCATCCACTTAGGAAGCGCCAACCACTGAACTCGCCCCCACCGCCAACTACAACAACAACAACAACAACAACAACAACAAAAACAACAATAAAATTCAAAGAAAAATATAAAAAAAGACAATGCTCTGGGGACGGCAGCAGAGGTCGATGTCGACGTTGACGTCGTCGCAGATGATTATAATACAATGGACGATAATGCGAGCGATCATGTAAATTAGATTTGTCTCAGTTGGCGACGTTGGGTGGGTTTCTCTGTTGCCTCTATGGCTGGAGGGTGGCTGGTGGGTGGGTGGATGCCTCGCTCGAAGCCGAAGCCGAAGCCAAAAGCCGAACTGTGGACGAGCTGGGACTCAAGCTCAAGAGCTCGGGAAAAACAATGCCAGAACTTTGGTTTGCTTGGCTTGATGGCAGGCTTAGATATGCTCTGCTGAAGTGCCTCTTCGTTGTGAATTTGCTCAAGTACAGGGATCTTCAATAGACCACGAGTATCCCACTAACGAGGCAGAGGTACCTGCTCCTAGAACCCAATCTATATCTGAATGATTCAGTTCGAAATGGGGCATCATTTTGATATGCTTATGGGTCTGTCTGCCCGTCAGTTGTTGTTGTTATGGTTGGGTCTGGGTCGCTTGTGTATGATAATCACGACGAGCGGCAGTCAAAAACGTTGAACAGCAAAAGAAAAGAAACGAAACGAAACGAAACGAAAAAAAAGGAAGGGAAAGTAATATAAAATCATATATGCATGTATGAAGTGAATGCTGGGTAGTAAATTGAAATAATTCAATTAATTTGCATTGTAAGTATAAGTACGCGGAGATCAAAACGACTGAATTGTAATAAAGAAAAATGTGGGGGAAGCAACTAAACGAGTGCGCTACAATGAAATCAGTTTAAATGAATAACGTTCGTGATGGCTCAACCAAGTGGGCACTCGTAAGCAATTTATGCAAGTGAATGCGCGCAAAACCTACTAGCAACATTCCATGGCTGGCCTGCGGAAGGAAATGAACCAGCGAGAATTCTATCCACCACCGCGCGCTGGCAACTCAAACCGTTTTTCAAACTCTAACGGAAAGGGCGCGCATGAAAAAGTGCTCGCTGTGAAAAGCTCGCTGCTGCGATGCTAATGGACCGATAACTAATAGTTGGGTAAGTTGGGTTTGAAATCATTCAGAAAATTGATGCATGATCGGTTATGCATGGCCCTAAATGCCGTAGTAATATTAAACAGAAAATCTGAGTCGGGAAATATTATTTCGATCAACAATACTTCAATTTTGATACTTCCATTTTCCCACGAAAATTTAACAACTTTAAGACTTTGAGCTTATGTTGTAAGGATAGGAGACCTGCCCCCCAAACCACTTATTACAATATTTCCTTATGATCCCTTTCTTTTTCAGGAAAACAATAGAATTTATTTTACTCTTTTTATTTGCGCGCCAATTTTTCAATTTATTTAAGTTATCAGTTAACATGCCTCTGTTAATAATTTACATACATTTACATACTGAAGCAAAACTTTAGAGAGGAGGATTTGAATGAAAAGGAATAAGGTCTTAAGGTATCCAATCCAATACGAAGGACTATTGATAAGAAGCGAAATTGATTCTTCAATCGGATTAAATTATTTGTTTAGTGTTGAAAGTTTTTGCAAGCAAGTAATATCAAATAGAAGATCAAATTCGAGGAATATGATTTAAGACTACGGTATATTTGCGGTATATTTTTAAAAGAGATTGTGTATTTGGTATGTTTCTGTGGGTCTGTCGGTAGAGTCGATAATTCCGCTGTCACAGCTGGTGACCATTTAAGAAATATTATATACTTTTCAGTATATTTATACCACGAAATTGAGTTCATTGTAGGTATATCGATACATAATGTTTTATTTAACGAATATCATCATCCTATTAAACTCAATTTGTAAAGTATATTCAATAATATAAGGTATCCAAACCCCCATACGCATACTTTTCAAATATCCCTCCAGGACTTTCTCTATTCTCCTTCTCTATTCCATCCCAACTTACATATTTTACCGTTGGCAACATAATTTGTATGGACCAGAAACTCACTGCTCATTTTTCGCAGCATGCTGCGAATACTAACCAGCATTGTTCCCAAACATTTCTCTTGGAATAAGCTACATTTAGTTTCCTTGGAGGGAAGGATATCCTCGAATTGAGAAAATTGTGGAAATCTTTGGCTCTAATCAATGCAAAAACATTCTATCTGTGTTGGTAAGCCATCTCAACAAAATTATTCAGATACCGAGAATACAGCTAGATCGATATACATATGTATATATTATTAATGTTTGATAGCAGCTTTGAAAATTACATTTTGATATTAATTTATGGAAATAGGGTATACAAAGACTCATACTACGCTAGACCTATCTGTTGACAAGCAACAAATTGTCAAATTACGTTGCATTCCGTTCCCTCTCACGTAACGTTTTATGCTATTTTTGTTCGTTGACCTTTTTAGATTTAAACCTAATTTGGAAACATTTCAAGAAAAGTAAGTCGTGAAAACTAGCCAATCTTGTGGAGAATTGATTGATTAATTGGATAAAACTATAGTTCTAGCGCGGAGACTCCTAACTAGCTAGTAATATTATATAGAACATCAAAGTCGGAAAATAATTTAAGATTCAATTTATATATTTATAGTATATTTTAAAAATACAAGGGTATATTTCGGTATATTTCCGAAAGTCTGCCGGTATACTTTATCGATAATTCCGCTGTCACACTGTGTATAGATCAGGTGGTCACACTGGTTGGTTGGAAAAAAAAAAGTGAAAAGTGGACGTCGTGAAATTTGCACAATCCGAAATTTGTTCAATCCGTAACTAACATGTAAGTACAAAATAAAAACTCGCTTCTTTTTTTTTGGTTTGCGGCTAGAAACTTTTGAACAAGAACTAATGTGCGGCCATTACCTGCTGCAAAACTGGTGATGGCGGCGCATCGGTTTCTTTCGGTATTATGCTGTGATTAGGCATTTATTTCGTCAAAACTTCTTTCTAAGCTCAGCACCGGCTTTCAGTTGCCTAGTTTAGTTTCTTTTTTTTTTTGTGTGTCCCCTATCCCTTGTGCCGATTTAGGGTGCTCCGCTGGCCCGGCGTCAGGCGACGTGGTGCCGCCTTTACAGCCGCGTGTTGGCATCAAAATGTGTGTCTGCATGTGCGTCCGTGTCGGCCCCGGTCATAAAAAAGCTGGTACACTACCCGGCATAGAGTTCCATGTGGATGGGCAATCATAAAGTGCAATCTTTTCCTTCCGCCGGGCTGGAAACTGCTATTTAACGCACCCAAGATTTTGTGAGGTTAAACATGAATTGCAAAAAAAAAAATAAAGAAATTTGCGTCATATTTGAGACCGAAGCTGGCGCATGTGTCGACAGCGGCGGCGTCTGGCATTCATCATCTGTGTGTGTGAGTATGTTCCGGTGTGTGTGTGTGTTAACATTTGCTATTTCGTCGAATGTTTTATTTTTTTTTTTGTGAAGAGAACATATCAAATCTGTTGGTGGGTTGTAGAGTTTAGTTGAATAGTCATTCGCAAAGCTCGCGGCTACCACGGAATACAGCGGAATTATTACAATACTTTTTTTTTCTTGCCGGCCTGTAATTTGGCGCGCTTTATTTGCGTCTATGGCTGTGCTTGCTGCATGTATTTGTGTGAGAGTGTATTGGTGGTGTGGAAGAAGGAGGCATTTGCGGAATGCAGCGTTTCCTAAGTAATAGAACGTTCGCCTTTTCAAAGTTAAAACGTTGTTTTCTTATATTGTTGATGAGCCTCGTGTATTTTCAGCCAGAAAAGGCACCAGTTTGTTTTATCCAGGCTTACGTTTATTTGCGAAATAAAAACTTCCTGTGTGTACGTCCACATGTATGTTTCTGCGCGTGTATGTATGTGCATGTAGGATTTCAATTTGCCAAGTATTTCCTTCCGTATTTGGGCATACTGGCATGCGTTGCGCGAGAGGTGTGTGTCTGTGTGTGTTTTTGTTCTTGTTTGTAGTGGAATTTTTGACTTACAACAGTTATTTGGTGTTGTATACCTGCCCTCTCTCAGGGACAACAGCAGCAGCAGCTGCCTGCAGTATCTCGTTCTCTTTCTGTCTCTTCCTCTGCTCTAGTGAATGTTGTGCCCTGCTGTTGCAATCTATCGGGCTCCCTTTCGCACACACACACCCCTATGCTGGCTTAGCAACAGCTGTTTTCTGTCCTTGGCGGGCTTTGGTCGCATCCGCTGCTACTGCGTCATATTTTGTTCGTGCCCACATCAGGACTCTTGCAATCAGTTGCAGAGCGCTCGGCCAACTACGAACACAACTCCAGTCCGCTAAAACCAAACCACCAAATAATACTAATTAAAGAAATTGAAAGATTTGAAAGAAAAGTGCTATAACCAATTTCCTACTACCGCTGCTTATAGCCATCGACGCTCCACTTGCGAGATTCTTCACTTGAATAAAGAAAAGCGCTCAACATGGCTCAGGAAGGTCAGGATATTCCCACTTTTAAGTGCGTGCTGGTCGGAGATGGTGGCACTGGAAAGACCACATTCGTCAAACGCCACATGACTGGCGAATTCGAAAAGAAGTATGTGGCCACACTGGGCGTGGAAGTGCATCCTCTAATCTTCCACACCAATCGTGGAGCTATCCGTTTCAACGTGTGGGATACAGCCGGACAGGAGAAGTTCGGAGGTCTGCGTGATGGATACTACATTCAAGGACAATGCGCTGTGGTAATGTTCGATGTAACTTCCCGAGTTACATACAAAAATGTGCCCAACTGGCATCGTGATTTGGTGCGTGTGTGCGAGAACATTCCCATAGTTCTCTGCGGCAACAAAGTCGACATCAAGGACCGCAAAGTAAAGGCCAAGAGCATTGTTTTTCATCGTAAAAAGAATCTTCAGGTAAGTTGGAACAGCCCATCGACTCACTACAATGTTACTAATTCATTTTTGTTTATTTTACGCAGTATTACGACATTTCGGCCAAGTCCAACTACAACTTCGAGAAACCATTCCTCTGGCTTGCACGCAAGTTGGTTGGTGATCCCAACCTAGAGTTCGTTGCCATGCCGGCACTGCTGCCGCCAGAGGTCAAGATGGACAAGGAGTGGCAGCTGCAAATCGAACGTGATTTGCAGGAGGCCCAGGCGACTGCCTTGCCCGATGAGGATGAGGATCTTTAAGCGAGAAGTGTATCTAAAATAGTTAACGGAGAGGCGGCCGGCCTATACACTCACACAACATACATACCATACCCACCACAATCACACACACACACACACGACCACACACCAAGCGTCATCGTACACAAACACACAAAAGACGGCTCTCCAGGGCCAGAAGTCAGTAGAATTTTTTTTTTTTTTTATGAAATTAATGATTTAAAGAAGATGTTGGAACACAAAACACAAACAAATATCAGCCAGCCAAACGTTTGGCAGCACCCGCTTCTGTGGTGTTGTGGCTCTGCTCTAGATGAACACAGCTCAATATTGCAAGTTCCTGAAGCAGTTATTGAAAACAGCAACATCAACAGAAGAAAACACAAAACATAAAGAAGTTGAAAAACAAAACACAAACCAATATCGGGCAGCCAAACGTTTGGCAGAACAGCAACAACCCAATTCAGCTGGTGCTAGGAGCTTCACTTGGAGCCAGCACCTTGGTGGTTGGTGATTTCCAACACTAGATGAACACAACTCAATATTGCAAGTTACTGAAGCAGTTATTGTAACCCGCAACAAGAAAAGAACAAAATACGAAACATAAAAAAGATGTAAAAACAAAAACTAAAGAAACACGAATTTTGGATTTTGTGTGTTCGTGTGTCTGTGTACCACTACTACTACTACTACTACAACCAATTTAACACTTTGCTATCCAATAATATTATTTCGAAAACAAAACAAAAAAATACATCCAAGGTATAGTCGTCTTCTATATCAATGTAAATCAAGAACAGAAAGACAGTGAAGAGAGAGACAGACAGAGAGAAGAGAAGAAAGGTTGGCGCGCGCGCCTGCATGAAAACGAGCGAGAGGGCAGTGCAGAGCAGCGCTGCGCCGTAGTAGTAGTTGTAGGCCGTAGAAGTAGGCATAGGCGCTGGGAAAAGAACTGAGTCGAAATGAACGAGATAGAGAGAGAAGAGAGCCCGAGCCGCCCGCTTAATCCTCTCCACATGTTATTAATCTAAGAAACTATGAAAAATAAACACAAAAAAAACCTTCAAACAACAACACAAACAAACAAAAAAAAAAACTTGAAAAACATACGTTTTGGTATTGTATGGGGAAAAAGAAGAGAAAATAAAGGAAAGAACAACGCCAAAATTGAAAACGAATTTTTAATAACGGAGACGTGTGGAAGAAAAACAATGCAAACGAAGCGGAGATTGAACGGTACTTTAAGGCTGCCAACAACGTTTCGGTACAGTGGAGACAGTGCAATAAGCAGCGAACACTATTATATGAATATTTCTAGCAGCTCCCCCACTGGCTATTCAATTTCAGATTGAATTGCTCATGTCCGGGGAATGCTGTGTGATTTTGGTTAATGTTAACAACTAAAATATCCTAGGCTTTCGTTTGCTTGCAATTTATTCATAGTATCATTAATATTGTCACATTCCCAAACATATTTCTCCGTGTGCAAGAGTATTGTAGTTTCAAGAATTATTCATACGCATTCTGCTGTGCTTCTCCAGGCTCCTCCCCTATGGACACTTGAGACAACAGGCTGGAAAGACGCCCGTAAAGCGATCCTTATTGGCACAATTGATCTTGTGCTGGGCGCAGCTGAAAGCGGACACAAAAAATATGCTAGCCGAGCCACTCGGTTAATGGTATTGTAAATGAACTCACTCCTCCACCAAGATCTTGAAGGTATCCGTGCAGATGGCACGCTTCAGGCATTTGCCATCCTGACCAAAGTCCACATAGTCCTGGCCCCGCTTCAACAGCGGCAGATACTTGAGGAATATGGTCTCATCCTCCGAGTTACGATAAGTGCACACCGGCTCGCTGGCTGGTTTTATGGGATAAAACATTTTATTTGGAAGCGAGCACAATATTATTGATTGTCTCTCACCCGCATATATGGTGGATGGCATCACCAGCAGCATCAGCAGCACGACGGAGAAGCTCAGAGAGATTGAAACGGCACTGGTACGCATCTTGGCAATGTGGAAACGAGACTGAAACGATACGGAGGCAACCAGTTTCCTATTTATAGTTTGCACTTTCATTGCGATTTATGTGTATAGAAGTGGAGAACTATCATTTGCATATTCACAGCGGCTCTACGATCATCGTATGATGATGATGATTGGCCCCCCCACTGGGGAGGATAGACTACTGCTGCGAAACAGAGCAAATTCAGCAGCGACGCGACGAGATCAGACCGACCACATGCCAGGCGGCTTCTTAATTGTGTAATTGTTCAGATTGTGCAACGCCATTGTAGAAGACGACTCGACACTTCTCTCAACTTTGAACAGTCGCAAATCGAAATTTATTCCCTTAGGTACAATTAATTGCTGGTTGTATAGAAAACAATGATAATACTAACAAATACGATCCACAACCTAAAGGACGGCCCTAGATGTAGTTGCTCTCCGGCTCCTGCTCCTGGCAGATCAACTTGGGACAGCAGTCGGGGAATGTGCGCCGCATATCGCTGGCAATTTTACACCTTTCGTTGGGCATCAGATTATGACGGCCGCAGCTGCGCATAAAAAATGGGGCTCCCATTACTATCGCTGTATTAATATTTATGTTATGTTTCCACTTACTATCCAATTTCGAGAACATAGTCCGGCCGACAGTAGATGGACTGGCAGTAGCCCTCGCGATTGATTGGCTTGTAGGACTGCTTCTTGGGTATTGCCTGATTGAGTTCCTCATAATAGCACTGCCCGGGATAATCTGTGGTAATAATATGCTGAATTAAGTGATTTCGGGTATTCCGATTGAATGCAAACCTGGATGTACGGCATTGCCGCGGTATGTCACATCGCCCCAGGCCATGCCACAAATGGTTAGGAGCAGGAGCAAGAGATGACAGCGGAGTCCTCCGGCTCGTATCATACTCATCATTTGTTGCACTCAACGCAAAGCGAATACGAAAAAAAAGCAAAGAAGAAATCAAAAGAATTCCCGACCTGGCCTCTTGTGTGCTGCCCGTGCGACTGAGTCAATTACAATTAATTGTTGTTGCTTTTATATAAAATTAATATTAAACATTGTACACTGTCTGTGTATGCTCGAGTGTGTGTGTGTGTGTGTGTGTGTGTGTGTGTGTGTGTGTGTGTGTAGCATCTGTGGCGCTGTTGGCTTTTGTTTGTCCGACGACTTAAGGCGTCCTCCGCTCTAGCTCTAGTTTAAATTAATTAAGCCACCCCCACAGGCCCTGAAAGCGAGAGTGCGCGGCGGGGCAGTACGGTTCCGTTATATCGCATGGTGTATGGCGCTGTTGCTGCTGCGGCGCAGAGCGAAGGGGGGGATAAATCCGTGACAGTTAAGTGACACGGTTCGAGAAACTGTGGCAAGGTTGCTGCGCCGCTAAAAATTATCCAAACATACAAAATAAGTACAATAAAAATGTGTACAATAAAAGAAAACAAGGCCTAGGCCTCGATAGCCGAAGTTTTAAATACTCTTACACACATGCATACATATGTATGCATGTATTTTTGTATGCACACACTGAATTCACATTAAGATAGTTTACAGCTTTGTTGATTTTGCCTAATTTATTATAATTTTGGCCAAACTGATACGACACAAGCAAAAACGCATGTAACTGCATATATTTATGTCAATTAAATGGAATTTACTATATGCGAATGCAAACTGCATTTGCGTTAATTAACTGTAATCGTGTGAAGATACCAAGAGAGCGCAGGAGCAGAGCGAGAGAGTGAAGTGAGCCAGTGAACTCTTTTTCAGCACTGGCTAAATGAGGTAAATTTGTCATTTGTCAACACAAGATCACAAAAGAGTTCGAGAGTAACTCTTTAAAATATATATTAAAAATTCTTCCAGCAAGTGCTTCCTGCCAGTTGATTGATTGAAGATCGACTGACCACTCACTAAAATTGATTTCATTTCATTTCATTTTGCGTTTGAAACTGATATTGTTATGGACTTCCTGCAGCCGCATCGCTTCGAGAGCAAGACAAACCTTAAACAAATCACTCGACAACGACAATAGAAACCCGTAGATGATTGCAAAGCACATACGAGGTGCTTCATATGTATGTGTATATTGTATGCTGATAACAGAGCCCTGTCCGATGTGGCTGCCCTTATAAGCGGCCGATCTGCCGCTGGACAGCCAAAAATCCAAATTCAGAGTAAACATGAATGTGCTGCTGGTGCTGTACGTCTCCGTGCTCATCCTGCTCCAGCTGGTGGCGATCAATGGCAATGGCTTCAGCACGCAATATCGGGGACACACGCAACACCCAACACTGGCCGGGCATTGCTACTACGAGGAACTGGATCTGGCTGTTCCGCTGAATGGCGAAATTCTGCCGGTCAATCACGAGGACTACTGTGTCAAGGTGCTCTGTGCCGATGATTATCTATTGATGATTAAACAGTAAGTGCCGAAAGCTGCCTAGACATATATAACACATATAATTTATGTTTGATTTTTCCCAACATCAACAGCTGTGAGCCGCAACCTTTTCCGCTTCCTGGATGCCAGCTTTCGCCCGGCAATTATGGTGTGCAGTTTCCCGAATGTTGTCCACAGCTAGAGTGTCCCACTCGTGCATAGTATTTTGTGATTTGTTGCTTAACTAATTAAACGTACATTTGTGCTTATTATTTTTTGAGCTGTAGCGTGTCCTCCTAGTCTGAAATCAGTTTTCATCGTGTTTGGTTCACCTTTTGATACACCCATCGACCCCGTGGCCAATCTGCTGGGCCATCTAATCTCCTCTCCCTCTCGCCCTCTCTCTCTCTCTCTCTCTCTGTTTGCTATATATTGCAAGTCCCGCAACGAAGTTGAATCTCAGTTGAATCTAAATAATGAAGTCGCTGACTTTTGTGCTGTGCCTCTTGGTGCTGGGCGCCCACTCGCTGTTGGCGCTGGCCGTGGATTGCGATTTTGAAGGCCACAAGTTAAATACGGGTGAATCGTACAAGCCAAATGGTCAATGCATGCAGTATACCTGTGAAGGACCCAAGCAACTGATAGGCAAAAAGTATGTTTATTTTATTTGTAAATTTATCAGCAAGGAACTCCAACTTACACGTTTCAGTTGTCCAATGGAGGCTCACCGGAAGCGCTGCAAGCTTGTTGGCGATGTCACGAAGCCATATCCCCAATGTTGCCCCAAATTTCAATGTTAATTGCAATAAATCTTCACTTACAAAGACCAAAAAATTATTCATTTATTCGGTTTGGTATACATGCTTGAACTTATGCTCATATATATATATATCTCAAATGGATCCTAGGTATATAAGTACATACATATGTATAAATATGAGTTGTGTCAATTGCCTAGTGGCAATTTGCAGGGGGTTTTGTCTTGAACGCGCACTTGTGTTACAGGCATAACAAGTATAAATGTCTCCATATACATATATGCATCAATATATCTCTCTTGTACCTCTTTTGTATTGTATATACATCATACATCCATTGTATAGTTCTCTAAAATAAGGGTCGCCGGAATCAGCTTCGAATTCCACACAATATCGTAGACCCCAGTGGGGGCAGTGTAATAATTACGCTCTCCTCGCACTTCACGCCTTTCTGTGCATCGATTGGATGTACCTTCGATGTGTGTGTGTGCTGGTTCCGCTTAATATTCACCCATACACATACATACATATATGTACTCTATTAACTGTATATAACCTGAGCTAGTCTAAACATTCTTTAACTATGGTCCGCGCTGGCACAGTTCTGCCGTTTATATGGAAACTAATATATATAGAAAGCCAAAACGGAAAGCCCTACAAGTGCTGCGGATTTCCTCTCCTTCGACTGAGATATACACACATCGAGCGATCGATCGATAGATACAACAAACGGGCAAACCCAATTTAAACTTTAAACTTATTCTAGCCCTAGAGCCTACCGACTCCTACCCGAACAACACTCAGTCCGGCGATAGGAGTTGTGGCGTCAAATCGCCACTGCACTCCTCTTCTCATTGACGCGCCGCTCGTTCGGTCTCCATCAGGCATTCGCGCACCAAAATGCGTGCATGGACAATGCCCCGCTTCAGCCGCTCCGTCGAGCTGCGCGACCCTGTGTATGTTGGCCTTATGTCGCGTCCCATTTCCTCGATGACGGCCAGCAGCTGGGCGTATTTGGTCAGGCCATTGCCGGTGCTCAGGCTGCCCACTGTCGGCAGGTTGGCTGTGGATGTGAGGGGTGTGGTTATGTTTGCCGATGTCTGGGTGGTCACCACCACCGGCGATGTGGACGGGGGCGGGTACTTGAGCTGTGACTGCGTCAGATTCAGACCCAAATTGTTACCATTGCTGTTGCCCGAGTTGCGGGACCCATTGGTGGCTGCCGCAATGTTGGCCAGCGAGAGGGCCGCTGCAGCGGCAGCTGCCGGCGTGGCCGTGGTGTTGGATTGCTGCTGCAGCAGAGCCAGCTGCGCCTGCAGGAACTGCGGTGAATATTGCAAGGCGGCAACCGCGGCTGCCGCAGCAGCATTGGCAGCCGCCGAATTTTGTTTGCTGGATGCGCTGTAGTCGCCGGAACGGTCGCGCTTGTTACTGTTGGCGTTGCTGCTGCCGCTGGTGGTGGAATAGTCCGTGGCACCCATGCCCCCGGAGTTGCCACGCGAATGATGGATGGCAGATATTTGGATTTGGGGCTGCTGCTCGCGCTGTTCACGCTGCTGCTGGTAGTTGTAAAAGTTTTGCACTTGCGAGCGTGGTATTGGTGTCACTGTGACGTCACTCAGCTTGGATTCGACAGCCTGAATGTCCATGATGTCCATGCTGATGCGTGGGCTGCACACCGGGCGGATCGTTATTAGATTTCCGGATGGAGGTGTGGGGCATGCTTACCGAGTGTTCTTTGGAAGTTTGCAAACGCTTCTCTGATGTCTCTGTCCAATTTTCGTTGCAACAATTTACGCTTTCCTTTCTACGCACAAACAAATCTATTGCAACCACCACAAACATGCACGCACACTCACACGCACACAGGCACACTCACTTCGAACACAGAGGAGCAGTTACAGTGTTATCAGTGTGGGCAGATGTAAATACCGCAGGGAGACTGTAAAAAATACCAAAACATACTAAACTTTATGGTTTTCAAATTAAGAATTCACATTTTCCTACATTCCCTTATTATTATATGCGACTGAATCTCATCTTCGGGTGAAATTTACATCACTTTATCACTTTTCAACAAAATAATTGAAAAACAGCTGGCAGCGACAGTGTTGCAAAGTTTTTGGAAATTGAATAATTCAACGTCAATTAAAAGTGCTCAGTTGGAAATAGCCATTCACATTTTACTGCCGAAAATTTGAAATTCAGACAATAGGAATTACATATATTTAGACAAAAGCTGATGTTTTCGATCTTATTGCAGCTGCAATTCAAATTTAACGTGTACTTTCCAGCACTACCCCTGCCAAATAAGTGCTGCACAACGCGGTGCCATCGTCATGACAGTGTGGCGAAAAACAATGGCGAAGAAACTGTGAAACTATAAAACTCTTGTAGTTGACATCTGGTCGATTTTAGACAAATTGTGCACACGCAGTTAACTATTTATTTTGTTGTGGTTGGTCATATTAAATCAAATAGACGTTTTAGGAAAATTAAAGTGTTTCAGACCACAAACAAGGTGAGCGTAAACAGCAGATTGCAAAAAATTCAATTACATTTCCGCGACTCCGTCTGTCCGATGCATTTGTGTGTGCGTGCGAGTGTGTGTGAGCGTTTGTGTGGGAGCCAATGTATGACGTAAAACGATAACGTAACGCCGTGCGTTTGTATGCTGCGCTTGCATATAATTAACACCGCCAAGCATTGATTAGTTGCCTTGCAATCGGCGTTAGTTTCTTCTTATTTTTGGCTGACTTGGCTGCCGCATATGCATATGCGTGTGTCGCTATGTGTGTGCCGCATAGGCGAGCAGTGTTGCACAGTGCCACATGCGATGCATGCAAAATGGGCGCACAACCAAAAAAGAATCACAATTCGCCAGGGTCCTCTTCCAGGGCCAACACCAGATCTCCCAAAGATCCCCAGGCCCAACTGAATGTATGCTTCTGTGTGGCGACTCCACCTTCCGCTCCTTTTCCATTTGCATTTGCATGTGTGCAGACTTTGTTATTCGTTGCTAGACGCGACCAAAGCGACAGTTGGCATTTGAAATTCGCTGTGAGCACACACACACACACACACGCACAGACAACCAGATATACATATATGCATGGGAACACGACACACACACAGATGCGTTCACCGAAACAGACGCTGTCGGCGACCTCGACATAGAAGAAGCAGAAAGCATTACAAAAACTCATTACTGACTCTCTGCTGCCTCTTGGTCGTAAAATAGTGCAAGCCAGAAATAATATTAATATTAATATTAATATTAATATAAAAATTCACCCGTGTAACATTTCTTCTCAATCAGAATACATTTGGAAATTCGCTACAGTGGGACAACTGTGGCCCAAATTATTGGATTCGCAAGCGGAATCGGAATCGCAGCGCTGACCGGAGCTGAGCTGAGCTGACGAGGCAAACTCGATAGATAGGCAAAAAGTGATATTGGGTATTTGTTTATACCAAGTGATAGCCATTTGTGGAAGTGATCTGATCGAAATGGATATGATTACCATTGGACAGAGCGTTAAAATCAAACGCACTGATGGGCGCGTTCATGCGGCCGTCGTGGCCATGATCAATGCGTCCGGCAAGTGCATAACAGTCGAGTGGTACGAGCGCGGCGAAACCAAAGGCAAGGAGGTGGAACTAGAGGCCATACTCACACTGAATCCCGAACTGACGCAGGAGGCTGTCGAGCAGCATGCGGCCCCGGAGCCAAAGAAGCAGGCCACTGCCCCAGTGAATCTGGCCCGCAATCCCACACAATCGAACATCTCTGGCAACCTCACCAGTCGCATGACCCTGGTCGGCAATCAACTGAACAAGATACACGAGACGCACCCGACCATCAGCTCGGGCAATGCTAATTCGAATGCCACCACGGGCGGCACCACTGCAGCGTCGACCAATTCGGGGCTGCAGCGTCCACGATTCACACAGGCCACCGGTAGACAGCAGCAGACACGCAGTGCCACGGCGCCCATCACAGCGTCCGCCCAAGTGACGGCTGGTGCGCAGGCCAGCCAATCCACAACCAATACAGTGGTCAACAATAGCACACAGAGCAGCATTGGCGGTGTCGCTGGAGGTGCGCGTCGTTCGCACGCCCTCAAGGAGGTGGAGCGTCTAAAGGAGAACCGCGAGAAGCGTCGAGCACGCCAGGCTGAGCTGAAGGAGGAGCAAAAAGCACTGCAGAACCAGGACCCAGGCAATCCCAACTGGGAGCTAGCGAATATGATACGCGAATATCAGAATACGTTGGAGTTTATACCTCTGCTCGATGGTCAGGCGGTGGACGATCACCAGATCACGGTCTGTGTGCGCAAGCGTCCACCCAGCCGAAAGGAGCTCAATCGCCGTGAGGTCGATGTCATATCGGTGCCCCGCAAGGACTTGATGATTGTCCATGAGCCGCGCACCAAGGTCGATCTCACCAAGTTCCTTGAACATCACAAATTTCGCTTTGACTACGCTTTCAACGAATCGTGTGACAATGCCATGGTGTACAAGTGAGTATTGAAACCAGCAACCGAGAGTAGTCGAGCACATACATTTGTATGTATGTTTATCAAGTAGCAAACTCGATTTCAGGCATAACCATATATGTAGACCATCTATCTATCCTCAACCTCTCATGCTTGTATGGTATGCCGCACGACATGTGTCGGTTGCCAGGCTATACACTGCTTTTAGCATATAAAAAGGCTACAGAAACTGCCACAATAGGACTTCCATTGAATTAGTATTCGAAGAAATGCAACACTTTTGATTTATTACAGTTGAAAGTATAAATTTCCTATTGGTTTTCCCCCCCGTACGCTGTTGCATCCAACAGCTGTTATTGCTGCCATCTCTAGCAGACACGGTCCATCCCTAACAAAGCGACTCATTCGAGTGCATACAAACAAACACAAACACACACACAGACGAACATAAAGTAAGAGAGAGAGAGAGAGAGAGAGAGGTAGCCGAAAGCGGTTGCTCCCGAAATAGCCAAGTTTTGTTTGGTTTGTTTTTTGTTGTGTTGTTTTTGTTGTTTTTCCAATGATTTGAAGCTTATGACTAATTTCACACAAGCTCCGGCTATCTCCCTCTGACACTTGCAATGCCTATATCGGCCACTCCATTGCCGCTATTCCATTCATTCATGGGTCTGCCTGTTTTCTGAACTCTGCCGACGCCGCTCGCTGCTTGAATTGATTAATGCTTGAGTTTTGAACTCTCTAAATTGTATTTAGCGCCTCTTTCGAAAAGTAACCGCCATTTCGCGTCCATTAAAAATTGTTTACCTTTTGTTGTAGCTTCAATTGCGTTTAAGAAGCTCTCCCCCTCTTCCAATTTTGCTCTTTCTCTCTCTCTCTCTTTTCTACACGGCGCATGAGTCAATGGCTGCCGTAGGAGATGGGTGCTGGGTGCGTCACGTAACGCCAGGCGCTAACGTAAAGCGCTAAACCTTCGTAAGACCTACCGATGATGCATAATATTTCAGTTGTAGTGGCATGGAATTTCCCTACGAAAATGAGTCTGACTGCTATAATTATTGTGATTATTTGAGGCCTAAAAATAGATTGCACGATTCATTCACTTTTAACTTCAGCAACTATGATACATGCTCTGATTTTCTGTGATCCTCATTTACCCCACCGCCCTTTCAGGTACACAGCCAAGCCGCTGGTGAAGACTATTTTTGAGGGAGGAATGGCGACATGCTTTGCCTATGGCCAGACTGGATCTGGCAAGACCCACACCATGGGCGGGGAGTTTACTGGAAAAATACAGGACTGCAAGAACGGCATCTATGCCATGGCCGCCAAGGATGTGTTCGCGACACTCAATACACCGCGTTATCGCACCATGAATCTAGTCGTTTCGGCCTCGTTCTTTGAGATTTACAGTGGCAAGGTAAGAATCTGAATAAATCCCACACCCCACCCGGTCAGAGATCCCCATTGCTAATGCTTCTGCTCGAACAGGTATTCGATCTGCTGGCTGATAAGCAGAAGCTGCGCGTGCTGGAGGATGGCAACCAGCAGGTGCAGGTGGTCGGACTCACTGAGAAGGTGGTGGACAGCGTTGAGGAGGTGCTAAAGATCATCCAGCTGGGCAATTTGGCACGCACCTCGGGGCAGACATCGGCCAATGCGAACTCATCGCGATCGCACGCCGTCTTCCAAATTGTCTTGCGTCCAATAGGCACCACAAAGATCCACGGCAAGTTCTCGTTCATTGATTTGGCGGGCAATGAGCGGGGTGTGGACACCTCGTCGGCCGATCGCCAGACACGCATGGAGGGAGCGGAGATCAATAAGTCGCTGCTGGCACTCAAAGAGTGCATCCGAGCATTGGGCAAACAGTCGGCCCACTTGCCGTTCCGTGTCTCGAAGCTCACGCAGGTGCTGCGCGACTCGTTCATTGGAGAGAAGAGCAAGACTTGCATGATAGCCATGATCTCGCCGTGCATCAATTCCTGTGAGCACACGCTCAACACGCTGCGCTACGCGGATCGTGTCAAGGAGCTGGTGGCCCCCAATGTCCAGGAGATGGGACCCTGTGGCGATGGCAATGATCCCATGGATGACAATGATATCGAAATCATGGACGATGACGATGAGGAGGAGCAGGAGAATAATCCGGTGCGCAAGCCAGACATCCGTTCACACAATCAGCGCAATGTTCCCATATCTGCGGGCATTCATAACAATAATAATAACAACAACAAGAATGGGAATGCCGGCAACACGGATCTGGCACTATTAAGTTCGCTGAGCGTGAGTATTTTCTGCTATTTTACATAATTAAGACATTCGATTCGCTTAGGCGAAATTTGTACCAGATCAAACTCTGGTAGCACTCGTAGAGGGCATACAAACTTTTGTAATTTCCAGCATTCAGGGTGCCCTTTGACTTTGACTTCAGCTCTAGCTCTGTCAGATGTGAAAACAAAACAAACCATGTTCTCGCCCAGCAAGATCGCCACAAATGGCGACACAAAAGCAAACACTAAGTTGGACTTTTCGTGGCACAAGCGACCTGTCGACGAGTACGGTCGAAAGTTATTTGCAATACGCAGATACAGCATGTACGCACTCGAGCAAAAGGCACTGCCGCATATGGCCAGAGTAGCGGTAAATTCAGTGTTGGAAAAGTCTGAAGTGGACAAAAAACCCAAGAAGTTCGTTTCCTCTCTGGTAAATCGTTCATCGGCTTACGCTGTAAGCCAGCCAAAAAAGAAGAAAAAGAAGCAGCTGGAAATATGCAAGAACGCGGATATGCTGGTGGATAAGAAGCCGAGTCCCAAGGATGATCCTAATGTCATTGCATTGGCCGCGCTGATACCGCGTGTGCATGAAGAGCTTTATAGGAAATTCGGTGAAGTGCCCAAGCTGCTACGCAGCAAGACTCGCATTATTTTCAATCTGCGCGAGTGTGGCTTCAAAGGGGTTCTGTTCGATTACGCTAGTCTCCTGCCCCACATCAGTGTGGATGAGGTGGAGACGAAAGATAAGAGTAGCCGCCGCTAAGCCATCGCTTCCACACACACAAGTGCACATCCAATTTTGATGTTTTTCTTAAGCCCACACCCACAAAAGTAATAGTTAAGCTGCGGAGAAGACAAATGCCTGGGAACGCTTTCTAATTCTAATTTGTACTCATTTTGACAGGAACACGAAATGTCACAGGAGCTGATCACACAGCACGAGGCCATTGAGGATTTGCAGCAAACAGAGGAAATGGTTGTGGAATTCCATCGATCGGTGAATGCCACACTGGAGACCTTCCTGGGCGAATCAAAGACGCTGTATACTCAAACAAATTATGTGAACTATGATCAGGAGGACTATTGCAAGCGCGGTGAATTGATGTTTTCCCAACTGATGGATATTGCCACCCAGTGCCGTGACATGATGTCTGAATATCGCCTTAAGTTGGCCAAAGAAGAGATGCTCTCCTGTAAATATAGTCCAAACAGCCAGCGCTAGAACATTTTGACTAGCAAAAAACCTCCTCCCCACACGATCCACATTTACACCATCACCATCACCGCCACCGCCCCACTACTAACAATCATCCGGCAACATTTTTAAATTGTTTTCCTCACGTCACATCAATGTGACCGCCCCGAATTTTTGTCAAGAATCACACGAATGGCATAACGCCTCCGCAGACCAGTTCCCTTACCCTTTAACCCTTTCTCTGCCCGAAAGAAAATGTGATCCGAGAAGGCAGACTCTACTCTACTCCAAAAAAAAACGTTGCATGAACAGCAGAACAGAACTGAAGGCTGCTGCGGATGAGGTCAAATGTGTTCCGCCTACGCAAGGGAAAGGGCGTGGAGGACACACGCCACAAACACACAGACGCACAGATGTGCACCCACTCGCAGAATCAATTGTTGGATATTACATTTTTTTTTGTGCGGCAGTTCAACTATTGTGTAGCGCTTAGCTTTAAATAAAATGTCCCTATATTGTTAAAGAAGTTCATGAATTCATTATTTGTACCCGCAAAAAGGAGACGTCTCGTTCCAAATCATTCGCTCATCCCAACCATTTAGCCGTCACGTTTCGCTCTCTCAACTCATTAACCGCCATTCTCTTTTAAGCTGCTTTGCTCTCTCGTGAGATGAGAGAAGTACCGGCATTCTTACTAAGCTTTACCGTTCATTCAATTGATGTTGACGTTGAATGGAGGGGAAGGCTGGAAGAGGCTGAAAGCGGTTGACAGTTTAACAGTTAATTACCGAACAGTAAAACCACACAATACAAAACCAACCAAGCACACACACACAACACCAACAACGATTTAATAAGCAAGATATTTTCAGTTTGGTTCTCATTGATTTTATGCGATACTTTTATAAATGAAAGAAAAAGACATTTACATACTATAACTGAAAACTTACTATTATGAGATTCCATTTACATTATAAATTAATTACCTGATAAAGAACTCTACATAGTTTTTGTTGTGTTCTTTTTGATTGATTGGAGAGTCCTGTCCTCTCTGTAGCGCCGCGGCACAAATCAATGACATTTAACTATTATGGACTAGTTGCGTATAGTATTTGTAATTATTTAAAGGCCACAAAACTGTATTTAATTTGTATTAATTTATTGTGAGTACTACCTACCACTCAAACTACTACTACGACAGCACCAATACCAATCTACCAGAGTATTCCCACTCCCATTCACCCTAACCTTAATGATATTTATCCTTTTTTTATATTTACTATATATTACTATTATATTAATTTTGTTTTCAAACTGATTTATATTCTTTGCCTGAGAAATATTTAGACTATGTTTAATTTTCCTCTTACCCGCTGTCCTCATTTCTGGTATGAGTAATTTATGTTTAATGGATTATATTTTTTTTTTGTTTTTTTTTTTGTATGTGCGTGTGAAAAGAATTTAAAATGCACTTGACCGCGTGGCTCATTTGATTTTTGAGAAATTTGAATTTGCATTTCATTTTGTACTAATATTTATTTCGTATGTTTAACTAATTTTACACGACACGACTAAAAAGGATAACGAAAACAAAAGAAACGGGAACATAACCAATCCACAGATTTACAGGCACTGCCTGCACTGCTTACTCGTAGGCAAACAAACAAAAACCAAAAGCAAATCAACACGAATGAAAAACACAAAGCAAAAACACCGTAGCCTTAAATACGCGAAACGACACTTTAAGCAAGAGAAAAAAAACATCAGAAATTAAAAAAGTAACGAAACAAAACGAATATTGAACAACAAACATACACATACTCACTTCACGTGCTTGCTCCCAAAGGTTTTTATATACGATTTAAACAAAACCTTTTATATAAAGTTGTACTTTTTTTCATTATTATTATTATTAATGGCAATTTACTACAGAATTCCCCTTCAACTAGAGTCGAATGATGACAAATTCCTTTTGTAATTCACCAAATGCGAGTTTTTAAAACATTGTTAATACAAATTAAACAAAGGAAACTGAATAATGAGTGCTTCGATATTATGCAGTATAAATAAAATAATAATAAAGAAATGTGTTAGGAATGGAATGAACTCTAATAATGTATTATTAAATATAAATCATAATTTATATTGTAATAGAAGCGAAGAGACACAAAAACTAAATTTAACATTAAAGATGTGTAAAAACCAAAAAGTGAATTTTTGTTTGTGCATTTTGGCGGTCGGCCGGCATGGGGCTCATCTCGATTTTTCCTGCATCTACGCACACATCTACGCATTGCAGGCGTATACAGCAAATAACGGTTTAACACCCATACACCTAGCTGAAAGCAACAAGTGCTCAAATAACCAGCAACGTTCAAGTATGTCGAAGCATTCTGAAGACACTTTGGCTTGGGAAAGAGGATTTCATACAATTCGAGATGATTTCAACAAAACTCTCTACAAATAGTGAATGTTCTTGGTAAAAAGGGTAAAAAGTGTATGCTTGAAATTATGGAAGGACCGGACTAGACTCTCTATTGCATTTCTCTATCCATTTATTCAAAATTAAACGTCGATAAGTTTAAAATTACGATTGCTCATGGTGGCTCTTCGGTGGATTTTACCTTGCCTGCGTTTTATTTTCTAGGTCGTTTTTCCTATAGTCCATACCCTGCTTTTCTGAGCCATTCCCCAGCGGTACATTTTAAAAGCTTGTTTTAAAAGAAGTATTGCTGGGACATTTAAGGTAAATTCGATTTTTGAGCTTCCTTCATAATTGGGAAAAGCAGATTAATAAAATGTTTGTGTAAAATAATCTATTCGGTTCTTACGTTTCTAATCAGCGTGTAACATTAACGTTTTAGCATATATACAAGATAATAGGGTGCACAAAATGTCCATACCCTCAAATTAATCGTCACATGTAGCTAGTACGTAGTTGCCGTGTAGTTACTTTGTAAGAAACGGGAAATGTTTTTTCGGACTTCTTTGCTTGTGCGTTATTTTATCCACAATCAACCAAATGGAGTCTTTAAAGTAAAACAGATTGTAGAAAATTGATTTATCAATCGGATAAAATTGCAGTTTCAGGGTTGAGAGTGCTAACTAGCTGGTAATGTTAAGCAGAACATCAAATCCACGAAAATGTTATAGAAAATACGGTATATTTACGGTATATTTGAAAATGAAAAGGTATATTTCGGAGGGTCGGGCGGTATATCTCGTTATCGATAAATCCGCGTTCACATTGAGCTGGAGCGATTAAATACAAAAAAAAAACGTGAACGTAGGCGTAAACATGGCAACAATTTTTTTCTCTGAGCCCGAATTGGTTATTGGCCACGGGCGTAAGGTGCTTTTCCTGAATCCGGGCGACTTGCAAATCTTCAAGGAAATCGAATTACCACCGGATTTAACCACGTGCGGATTAAAATTGGCCGAGCCAGTCCCCGTGCCTGGCCCAGGGCCGAGGCCGAGCCACCCGGCCAGCAGCTCAAAGCAACAGCCTGCAGCCTTGAAGGAAGCAACAGGATCTGTCAAGGTCGAGGTATCGATACAAAATGTGACCTACTCTCCAGATCGCCAACTGTTGGCCCTAACCACAGTTGGCCAAAAGGCAGTGCTGCTCTACAAGAGTCGACCCGAGAACGCCCAGCTCCTCTCTGTACGCCCACTCACTCGCGCATCGAGCGCCCTAAGGTTCTGCAGCGATGGCAGCTCCGTTCTGGTCACCGACAAGACTGGCGACTGCTACCAGTACGACTGTGTCGAGGTGGATGCCCCGCCACGCTTGCTGCTGGGACACTTGAGCATTGTCTACGACATCTTGTGGTCGGAGGACCAGCAGTATATAATCACATGTGACCGCGACGACAAGATACGTGTCACCAACTATCCGGCAACATTCGACATACACAGCTACTGCTTGGGCCACAAGGAGTTCGTGTCCGGCCTGGCCATGCTCACGGAGCAGCACATCATCTCGGCATCGGGGGACAAGACGTTGCGTGTCTGGAACTACACTAGCGGCAAGGAGCTGCTGCTCCACGAGCTTCCCGCTCCAGCTGTCCGCATGCTGGTGCGACAACTGGAGCCCGAAAAGACATACGAGGTGGCCGTGCTCCTCTACGACTATGTCGATGCGATTGGCGTGTATCGGCTGGAGCAGACAACCAAAGAGAGCTGGAGCATCACCGCCACCCAGATGGTGCGTGCCGAGGCTGGCAACTGGAATATATGCAATTTCGCATTGACCGACAATCGGATCTATGTGACTGGCGCTGAGAACGATCGTCTAACGTTGCGGGTGTACGATAGCAGAAATGGCGAGACGGCCACTGGGCTGCCCGATGGCTGGCTGAAGATGGTACTAGACAATCTGGATGTGGATGCATTCATGCCCGAGGACTTGTCCGTTTGGTTTAAGAAACGATTCGACAATGTCAGCGACTACTTGGAGCGCAAGAAGCGTCGCATCGATGAGCAGAAGCAGCAAAAATGTGGATAATTTACATACGTTCTATCTTTACATAGCATTTAATTAGTTTATCGGACAAAAGGAACGGACTATGTTTGACAAATCTGTTACATGAACATATTATATTATATACAGATATATATATATAAATATTTATGTGTTTAGATGTGTGTAATTTAATCTTTATTAAAGGATCATTTGATGCCATTAGACTGGCTTATAATCTAACTTGCTCTCCAGCTTCTTGTTCTCCGACACCTTGCGCACAGCCTTCATAAAGTCCTCCTGGATGACATACTCGCGCTCAGCCCTGTCGCACAATAATTAAGAAACAATATTCAGATAAGTTATTCCGATGGCTTCGGCGCAGGGCGGGCGGCACTCACCTGATGGCAAAGAGACCAGCCTCAGTGCACACATTGCGCAAATCGGCGCCATTAAAGTTGTCCGACAGCTTGACAATCGCTTCATAGTCGATCTCCCCGTGCTTGGCAATTGTCAGCGCATGAATCTTGAGAATCTCCAGGCTATAAATGGGATACAGACATCAGCATAGAGTGGAATAGCGCGCAAAAGCAACTTACCGTGCCTGCTCGTTGGGCAGTGGAATTTCAATTTTACGATCCAAGCGACCGGGACGCAGCAGAGCTGGATCGAGGGTGTCTGGGCGATTTGTGGCCATAATCATTTTCACCTGTCCCAGGGAGTCGAAGCCGTCCATTTGGTTGAGCAGCTCCATCAGCGTGCGCTGAATCTCGCGATCTGCGGATGTGCCCTCGGAGAAGCGGCGCCCGCCAATGGCATCGATCTCGTCCATGAATATGATGCAGGGCTGATGATCGCGGGCATAGTTGAACATCTCACGAATGAGACGAGCACTCTCGCCAATGTACTTGTCGACAATGGCCGAGGAGACGACCTTCAGGAAGTTGGCATCCAGCTGGGAGGCAACGGCACGGGCCAGCAGGGTTTTGCCCGTGCCAGGCGGTCCATAGAGCAGACAACCCTTGGGCGGAGTGATGCCGACACGCAAGAACAGCTCCGGATTGAGCAGTGGCAGCTCAATCACCTCGCGCAACTCACGAATCTGCTCGGTGAGGCCACCGATGGCCGAATATGTTACATCTCCGGGATCCTCGTGGGACATATTGTACACCAGGGGATCCACTTCGCGCGGCAGGTAACGCATTATGGTCAAGGTGGTCATGTCCAGGGCCACACGAGTGCCAGACTTTAGCTTTGTCTTGTCCAGCTGGCGACGGCAGCCGACCACATAGCGCGGCCCATTGGTAGCCTTCACAATGACTGAAAATGGGAAAAGAGAAGAAAAGCCATGATGAACAATTCAAAAACTGTCAAGTCTGTGCCCAGAAATATTACATTTATCTTCGGTTAGCTGCTTGAGGACTTCACCCACGATTTGTCCCACACTCTGCAGCGCCTTGAGATCATTCTCCGACTTGTCATACAGTTTGGTTAGTTCCTTGATCTCATCACGCTCTGCAACAAAGGTAAGGGAAAGGTGTCAATGCTTGCCGTGTTGTCGGAATTGGGAAAACGTCGGACATTACTTTCTTTGAGACGCCCTTCGATCTCCTTGTGCTCCAGCAGTTTCTTTCTGTAGTCGGACAGTGCTTTAACCCGCATATTGTCGGGCACTGGGGTGGCAGTCACAGTCATTTCGCAAGAAAAATATTTATACGCCCTTCAAAAATCAAGTTTTACAAAATTCGTTTGGTAAATGCCGTGAATCTGCAGTTTTTGGCTGCAATCAGTGTGACCGCGGAATTATCGATCAAATATACCGTCAGACCGTGAAAAATATACCATCTAATTTTACAAATATACCGTAAACACAAAACAATAGTTTAATCCGATCGAAGAATCAATTTTTGCCAGGGCTGCCATACCACAATCGATAAGATCGATGGTGTTTGGAGCATCGATACATCGTTTAAAATGGAAAAGGTTCAATTTCAATATTCAGTGGAATACCCTCTTTGAAAATTATATTTGTTTTTTATTTTGATTTTATTTTATTTTGCGATTTTGGTTCTTATAGCCACTGGAATTGCATTGCTTCCATGCTCTCATCAGAACGTATTGTGTCATCCTTGATGTGGAGAATTCTGCGCATTTCCTCGGTTTGCTTGCCTCGAATCATGTCTGCCACGGTCTTGCAAGTCACATCGTGTAGATTTTTGATGTCCAGATAGTTGGCGGCCTTTATTAGACTAAAGAGCGCGACATGGTTCTTGCTGACGAAAGTTTGTCGCCATCGGCGTCCATCTTCTTCACTCGCATTCGTGTTGAAATGGAATTCTGCCCACTCTATCACCATTGTCAAAATATCTGAATTTATATTCTCCAACGGCACAGCGGCATCATTCCAGTCTTCCATAATAATTTTTATTGTTCCTGAGCATCTCGTGATGATGTCGAAGTCAACTTCTATCGTTTTACCATCAGACGACTGCAGCTTTACAATTGACATGTTGTTTTTAGAGCTAGATTAATGCACGGGTTTTTGTTTCTTTTGTTATCAGATAAAGTAGTTTTGTTGTGATCCGGTTAGCTTCATAGGGAATATCGAATACAGTACGTATACAGCATTTGGGCTAGTACAGAACCTGGTCACACTGGAGCAAAATGTCGTTGAAATGTCAATTATTTGGGCAAAATCTGCGCCGATTTCGCTTGGTTACATTTGATGTAACGGACACGCTGCTGAAACTTGAAGATCCTTTGAAGCAATACCAAAAGACGGCAGCCGAATGCGGAGTGACTGGCCTCAACAGGCAGCAGCTGGAGCGCTGCTTTAGCCAACAGTTCAAAATCATGAGCAAAAAATATCCAAATTTTGGTCGCAGTTCACCGAATCTCGACTGGAAATCGTGGTGGCTGCAGCTGGTGGCGGGTACGTTTAGCTGCGCGGATGCCAGTCTGCCGACCGACAAGCTGGCCACGATTGGGCAACAGCTCGTAAGGGTTTTCCGCACCAGCGCCTGTTGGCGGCATGTCGAGGGAGCAGCCGAATTGGTTCAGCGCGTTCGCGATTCTGGCAAATGTGTGGGCATCATATCCAACTTTGATCCATCCCTACCACAAGTACTCCAGGCCATGGGCTTTGCAGGCAAATTCGACTTCATTCTCACCTCCTACGAGGCTGGCGTTATGAAACCCGACGCGCGCATCTTTAAAATCCCACTGGAGCGTTTGCAAATAGCGCCGGACCAGGCCCTGCACATTGGCAACAAGTACGACATGGACTATGCCGGTGCCCGCAACAGTGGCTGGAGCGGTTTGCTCGTGCACCCGATGGAGGCAGACAAACGAAACGAGGCCAAACACTCATACGCCAACCTGGCCACACTGCTGAACGCACTGGAAACCCAAGAGATTGCCTGGTGATTCTTTCATATCTTTTCTTTATGTACAAAACATATGAAACGAAACGAAACGAAACAAATATACATACTTATATTTATATATATTATCTTTAAATGCCTAATCTTAACATAGGACGCGGATACTTAGTCAAGGCTTTGCTCTAATCTGCATTTGGTGTGGATGCAAAAATTCAGACTCATCTTACATGCCTAGCCTTAGGATGCCGTTTAAGCTATTACCTGATGTCTTATCGAATATCTTTAGTCAATATATATATGTACACATAAATGGGGGCGTAAATACTCTTTCAAACAGACTAAAAAACTAATTTGTGAACCGAAATTGATGCTCTAATTGTTCTTAGGGAATGCATTTGGTGGTCTCCTCTCCGCGCTTCTACGTTGATTTTGTTGCCTTGGCGGGCATCTGGGCCTTGGCTGCCTTTAGCTGTTCGAGATTGAATTGCTTGCGTATTTCCGTAGACACCTGACGAATGACCGCATCAGTGTTGGCCTTTAGATCCCGCTCGAGCACATCAATGTCCACGTCCTTGCTCTCCAGCCGCATCTGCATGTCCGAGTAGAAATCACAAAAGAGCACCGGCTCGTCGGAGCCGTTTGGGGTGCGCGTACTGCAGTACTGGCCCCGGCGATGCAGATCATCGTTGCTGGACTTTGAGTCCAGGAAGCGCCGTGCGCCCAGCGGCAGCTGCTGCTGCACGAGTCGCTCGTGGTTCTGGGATATATGAAACTTGAGCTTCTTGAACTCCTTCACCTCGTTCTTCATGTACTTCACGTAGCTGTACATCTTGGAGGTCTTCTTGGTGAGATTCTCCAGGCAGCTGATGAAGTTGCGCACCTGCTGGGTGCGCGGCAGGGTGCTGGGATCGAGGCGTTCGGCCTCATCGAAGTGCTGCAGCGAACGATTAAAGTCATGCTTCATGGCCAGCGCTGAGGCGAGCACCACATGGTTCTCCGCCACCTTGGGCGCATGCTCGACGGCGGCCGTCAGTATTAGATCGGCATCGATGAGCCGTCCCATGCGAAAGAGTATTGTGCCCAGGCTGAGCAGCGGTATGTCCTTGAAGATGGGCGGTGCCAGCAATGCGGCCAAACGGGCGCAGGGTAGAGCCTCCCGAGCATTGCCTCGCATCCTCCAGTAGTAGGAGCTGAGCGTGTGGAACTTCCATGATGCCGGATGATGCTGCAGCCCGTCAACGGCAAACCGACGCGTCAGTTCGACGGTAGCCGTCCCGATATTGGTGTCATGCTCCCGCTCCACGTACGCCGAGTCCATTACCTTGGGCTGAAAGCTTTCGAGATGGTCGTAGGTGGCCGGGCCAACACTCAGCTTGTGATAGTTGCTGCAGACGGGCTCCTGGGTGCGTTGCTTTGTCCCAGTGCCCGACTTGCCGTGCGGTTGATTCACGTCGCTCTGCTCCGGCAGATTGATGCGCTTCAGCTGATCGGGCGTGATCTTCAGGTAGGACATTCGCTTCTCCAGCATGTAGTAGTCCATCGCACACTTGGCCTGCTCGGCCAGGTCCTCCCCGAAGCGCATGGAGAAGCGCAAGTGCTCGACGATCTGTTCCCGCTTTCGCAACAGGTCCAAATAGGAGCGCTCGACGTACTCATTGTAGCGAATCTGCTCCAGGAAGGCAATTAGGTTCTGGGGCTCGCGCATGTGAAAGGGCGAGTCCAGCTTTTGGGTAATTTCGTCTTCCTTCAGCACCCAATGATTGCTGGCCGAGCAGCTGAGGAGCACGTGCAGGCAGCCGATGGCCACGGCGAGCTGACAGACACGCATATTACATTGGAGTAGGGTCCCAAAAAGGGATTAACTATAATCAGCACACCGGTTAACAGGCAAACAGCACAGAGGAAAACACAAAAAACATTCTAAACAAATTTGGTAAATAAACTGCGGCGATAGTCAGCCATTCTCGCGGATGTACCGATACTGCGATGCGATATGCAATTCATCGATAACACTTAGGTAAACACTTACCCTTTACGATTTTACCTTTTTTTTTTGTTTTTTTGTCAATCATCAATTCGATAAAAGCTTGTAATATTGAATCGAATATCAAAATCAACGAACTTCAAGCAGATTCGATTTCACAAACAGTATTGTTTTCCGCGGTTTAACTTAAGTGTTGAACTGATTTAAGTGGGCTAAGCTCGATTTTTTCCTCTGTGTATTTTTGGCATATTTTAAAATTTATAAGGTATATAGCGGTATATTTTTTAGGGTTAGTCGTTCTATTTACTAGATAAGAACGCGGTCACACTGATCCCTAGTCGAGTTGGCATTTTTTTTAATGGTTTAAATAGTCTACCAATTGAACTACAACCAATTTAGTAAATGTAATTGTTAGTCAATATCGAGAACAGTCCTTTGTGCGTGTAAAAAAACGAGTGTTTTGTGTAAGTAATGGCCCAACATTGACCATTTCGCAGCTAATTGAAAGCTGTTGCGGCGTGTGGTGGACCAAAAAAAGTCAAGGGACTGACAACTGACATCCACTTGTACTTGCGTGAGTTGTGTGTGCCAGTGTGAGTGTTTTTGCATGTGAGAGGGGATCTCAGGAGTGTGTATGTGTTCCTGTGTTAACACCAGTGTTATTTTTATAATAAATTGACAATGGCAACTGACCAAAGAGGCTAACCAAGAAGTATTATTATAGTACGTACATATGAAGCAAGTGACAATCCGCCAGAATCTGGGGACTAGGGCCACCGCTATAGCAACTCTCTCTCTCTCTTTTTCTCTTTCGCTCTTACAACCTCTGCTCCAATTATTTTTTTCGAGTGTTTTCGCTTTTGACTTTTAGGAGAAATGAAAACAGAAAAGCAAATTGAAATATTGAAATCATTTCTGTATAGCAAAAGCCGTCAGTTGACAGACAATTGGTTTGGTGTAAGTGCCAAAATTACCAACTTGCTAAATCAAAAATTAAGATAGAAAGAAACAAAACGAACCCACGAAAAACCTGCTGCGTGAAGAAGAAAGCAAAAAACAGTGGTAAGGTAACCAGAAAAAGAAGAGGAAGAGAAAGAGAGAAAGAGAGAAACAGCAGAGCCACCGTTGTGGATGAGGAGGGGAACGGAACGAACGGACGGACCCAAAGCAAACGTCCACGTAAACTTTTAACATTTTGCTTTGGATGATGTTCGTAGTTGTTGTTGTTTCTTTTTACAATTTTTTTCTTTACTGAATCGAGGTTGTTTTTTTGTATGGCGATAAGGATTTCATTTAAATTCATTGGAGTGCATATGAAGAAACGGTAATTTTGCACACATATACATATACATTTTTCATCTGGACAAACGGGTTTTCCCGTTACTGAGCGAATGTCTTGGCTGAAGGCCCGTGCCCTTGCGCTCAGCCGCACAGAGGGATTCATGGAAGAGGGCAGGAGGGGCGAGGATGTAACAGAGGTGTGTGTGTCGTCCACTGCGTCGGAGTCAATGGGTGAAACATGCTATGGGAATTATGCAAGAACTGGGCAGGAACAGGTAGAGCGCCAGCTGCTCCTTCATCTGTCTGTGTGTGCGTGTGTGTGTTTTCGATTAATAATTTGTGATTTCTCTTGTTCTTCTCTTGCCAGCTAAACGAGAACCCGAACATGCTGCACAACAATGCTCCCTGGCTGCCACCCCATCAGCCGCCACAGCAGCAGCAGCAGCATCCTCATCATCCTCAGCAGCAGCAGCAGCAGGTACAACTGCAGCAGCATCAGGCACAGCTGCAGCAGCAACAACAACTGCAGCAGCAGCAGCAGCAGCAGCCTGTCTATGCCAGCCAAATTTTCCAGCACCAGGCACCACCACCACTTGGCCAGCAGCAACAATACTGGCCAGAGGAGCAGCAGGACCAGCAGCCGCAGCCGCCGTCGCTGAATTACAACAACTATTTTGCAGTCCAAGCTGGCGGTCAGCAGGCGCCACCGCCTCTGCCTCAACCGGAGCTGCAGCAGCAGCCTCCACAAATGTATTACCAGCCGCCACCACAAACAACAACTCCGCAAAATCAAATGCATCCCGAAGTGCCTTTGGATTCCTTCGAAAACAGCAGCAGCAGCATCAGCAACAACAACAACAACAACGGCGGTGGCAGGAATGATGGCTGGGGGGACTGGGGTGATTGGAATGAGACGAGCAACAGCAACCACAACAACAACAGCTACAGCCAGAACCATAACCATAACCAGAGCCACAGCAACGAGGCTGTGATGGAGCCACCGCCAAGCAACATAGTCGATGATGCCTTCAATATTCAGGGATCGCAGGGCAACAGCTGGCAGGCCTTTGCCAGCAACAATAATAACAGCAACAACAATTTGGATATTCCCCCACCCGTGGAACAGCAGCCTCAGCAACCGCAGCAGCAGCATCCGCTACAGCCGTTGCACCAGCAACTGCAGCAGCTCCATTTGCAACAACAACCCCCGCCCGAGGCGGGCCAGGAACCCGAACTGGATGCGATTGTGCCGCCGCGCGCCTTTCAGAATCAACCAGGAAGCGCAGAAGTGGCGCCAGTTACCGGTGGATTGGTGGCCATTGCACCACCATCTGCCCTGCCACCAATAACCGCCAGTCCGGGCGGCAATCCCTTCAAACGTTCCACTGGACCCAGCAAACGTGTCAACATCCTGGCCGGCACACAAGCAGCTGTTCCGGCTGCTATGCCTGCTTCTGTTCCCGCTCCTCTGCAGCCAACAGTGGCCAGTCCTATGGAAGCACCAACGGCTGAGGTAATCTTTGGCCTGGCACCATTCAATGTACTGGCAACGCCTTCAGTGTTGCCTCCTGCACCTGTTGTTCCGGGCGTGAGTCCTGCAGTTGCATCATCCATTTATGGATTACCCTCACAGCCGCAGCAGCAGCAGCAGCAGCAACAGCAGCCCCTGGTGATTCCTCCACCACTCATCCCCGAGTCGTCACCCCTGGAAATGGGTGGCTATGAGAACCTGGAGGTGCTGGCCGCACCTAACGACGAGAGGGCCCAGTATCTGCAGACGAGTCATCTGTCGGAGCAGCCCGAGGAGGGGGAGGCCAATTGGGAGGCGGAGACGGACGCGGGCCTGCTGCCGCCGCCCGGTCTGTCGCGTCTGGTGCTGGGCCAGCCGGAGTTGGAGCAGCAGCGACTTGTCACGGGCACCGAACAGCCACCGGCAACGGCCGTGAATGTTGTCCAGGCCCTGCACATGGAGGAGCGTCAGGCGGATGGCGAGGACACCTCCGAGGGAGAGCAGCCGCCACGTGTCGATGATCGCAATCTCTATCAGACGCCGCCGCGTCGTGTGGTCACGGGTGTGGAGACAACGGCCGTGTCTGTGCGGGAGCAGCGTGAGGTTGTCCTGGATGGTGAAAATCTCGAGGATCGCGAGGAGCCACCACCGGCCCTGGCCGGAGTTACGGCTCTACCCGTTACGGAGCTGCCGCTACAGCTGCAGCAACATCACAGCCTGCCCGACGAGGCCGAGCCATTGCATCACAATCCACCATCACAGTCAGCGCCAGTGGCAGCCTCCACCGTTGCCGCCGCACACTCACAACCACACCCACACCAGCAGCCCCTGCAGCAGCAGCAGCAGCAGCAGCAACAACAACAGCAGCAGCAGAGATTGGAGAAGAAACGTCCCCAAGTCGGGCAGCGTATGTCGCGGACTGGTAACGCCTCCTTGGACCTGGAGTCGGATGAGGAGTCGGACGAGTTTCTGCTCAGCGAGCGAGAGCGCGACAGGGAGCGCGATAGACGAGATCTGCTCGACGATCGTCGCGGACGTCGTGGCCACTACAACAACAACTACGACGGCGAGACGGAGGATTCTGTGCGGGGCGCTGGCCCAGTGGGACCTGCGGAGAGCAAGACCGGGCGTGATAGCCATCGGCGCAGCCACGACGGCAACAGCCAACAGCAGGGCAGACGCCGCAATCCCGAAACAGATCTGGAGCGTGAGCGGGAACGTGATCGGGATCGAGAGCGCAACTGGCGCCGTCGTTCGAACAAGTATCACAGCGGTGGCGAGGATCAGGAGCGTTTCGAGCACTCGCACTCCCGTCGCTACAACAACAGCAACTACGACGGGGAATCCGAAGGTCCCGACTCGAGCCACATGGGAGCCGATAGCGAAATTCTGCTGGATGGAGGCAGCGTCGGCCCTGCTGCCGGAGGATCCAACAGCATTGGTGGGCGCAGCAGCAAGAACGGCAGAGATCGCCAGAGGCGCAGTGCACCCGCACCCGAGGAGGACTACGACTATGATGATTATGAGCGAGAGCGCGGCCAATACTCTCGACGCTCCATTAAGCAGTCGGAGAAGGGCAGGAGTAGTGGTGGGAGGCGAGATCGTCATGAGGCCACCGGTGATCAGCGGCCGCAGCGTCGCAGCAACGATGATGGCACCCTGGAGCGGCGGCGTCGCCATCCGCATCCCGATCAACGGCACTGGGATGGGTACGAGGAGTACCGCAGAAAGAGCTCCCGCAACAGTGACCTTGAGAAGGAGCGCACCAATGGCGGTGGTGGTGGTGGTGGAGCCGGTGGCAGCGGCGGCTCTAAGCGTCGCAACTACGCTCCGTATGCGGGTGCTGGCTACGATCCGTATGGAATGTACGAGCAGTTGTCGAGGAATCCCCAAGCCTATGCGGACATGTATGCCAAGTTTTATGGTCAAATGATCAACTCGATGACGGCAGCAGTGGCTCCTTACAAGGCGGCGGGTGCACCGGTACAGCAGCAGCAGCAACAACAGCAGCAGCAGGGGCAGCAGCCGATGATGACTGCAGGTGTCCAAATGATGGATATCATGCGGACGACTGGTAAGGAGGGTGACCTGCTTACAGAACGTGAACGGTAAGTGCATACCACCCCGCCCCTGCGAATCGATTGTAGGTTTAGTTTCCCAACCAAAAAAAAAAAAACAGTTGCCCTGCCAACCGCACCTTCAGATTTTGCAGAGTTCAATTGAGTATGGAGAGAAGGCTGGTCACACCAGATGGTGTGCCGTTACCTTCTAATTGAAAATCACAGTTGCAATTACAACACTGGAACTCTGCAAAGTCGCGAAGCAGTGGATTTTCATATTCCTTTAGTTAGTTGGTTTATTCGTTTTGTTAACTTATAATTACACCCAGCCACCCATACATAAACACATACATAAATATATGAATGTATGTATGTATGTATGTAATTGCCCTTACCCACTGTTCCCACTGATTCCCCATTCCTCGTTGACGTAGCAGTTGTTCCCTTATCCGTAACCGCGCCCCGTACCTCTTTCCACGTGATGCTAATCTGAAATGTTGATTAACGCGTGGTATACCCTCCTACGCGTCCATCTGTTCCGCCTGTTAATTGTTGAGGTTGGATTTTGGGAGTAATTAACCCACAGACATGCTAGTGTGTAGATACTTAGTTAATGATTAGATAGAGGTACTCTCACCCGGTTAACTAACGTACTACCCCGATCGGTTGATCGTTTACTACCCTGTATGCGTATTCCCGTACCTTTCACACACTCCACCCACACCTCCTTCTCCTTCTTCTTCTACTCATGAACCCTCATCAACCGACACATGAATCGATCTTTCATTCGCCTTGCTCCTGCTCGCCTCAGCTTTCTCTTTTTTGTGCGTTTACTCGTACTCGTACTCCCTCTCACCGTTCCTGCTTCCACCTCCTGCACCTTCTCCTTTACCATTCCATAGTCCATGTGTGTGTACGCAAATACCGTTCGTTGTGTGTTGTTGTTGCTACTAACAAAACACATCAGAAGCAAACCAAAAGTAAAAGCAAAAACAAGGTATACCAATATTAAGGTATGGCATCATGGCTTTCCCTCTCTCTGTCTCGGATCACAGATGCAATCGTGCAGCAACTGTAACCGGGAATAAACGAGAATGGCATCTTGGAGTGTCTTACCTTACTGTTGCTTTATACCGATATATGTACTATGATCGTATGTAACCTCTAAAACTGTTTTTCGTCTCTAACAATTCACAAAAACAAAAAAAGCAAAACGCAAAACATCATTTGTGCCTTCCTCCTACCTCCTCCCCATGTCTAGGTACACACACGCATACATAAATCAAGCAAACGAATTCCATCGTCAACAATATAATGAGGGGCTCTACCAGCAACAGATCCATCAGCTTCAACAGCAGCAACAGCAGCTCCATCAGCAGCAGGAGCTCCTTAACCGCAGCATGGCGGACATGGAGGACAGCAGTGCCAGCTTCTATGGTGGTGAATCGTTTAGCAGCCGGAGATTTATCTATGGGCATCATGGGCTAGCCAGTGCCCGATCGCTAAGCAATCTGAATGGTGGGGATCTAAATGGAACAGGACGAAGTTCACGTTGCAGCGGCGTTTATTATGCTGGCTCTGAATGCGCCCTCGATATCAGGTGGTCACACAATCTCACTCTGAAGTCTCTCACTCTCTCTGTCTCTCTTTGTCTATGTATTTATCTCAATATGTCCCCCGCTCTGCTGAGTTTCGGTTACACTCTCGCTCTCTTAGGTATTCCTCCCCCCCCCCCCCCCCCCCCCCCCCCCCCCCACAATGCCTCCCCCTCTCCCCACCAACAAAATCCTCCCCTCCCCCCCTCCCCCCCCCCCCCCCCCCCCCCCCCCCCCCCACAATGCCTCCCC